ACTATATACGTGCCTCTGGAGGCGACGGGAAAAATTTCGGCGTGGAGGCCTGCTTTTCTTTGACCCTTCCGTATATGACACACCGAGGCCACCCAAGGTACTTCCAGAAAAAAACACTTTCTTGTCACGCATAATGATATCCGCAGGATCGTTGTGCAAGTCCGCGCGCCAGGACTTCATTTCAATTTCATGGTCCTGCACGCTCCCTATCAGGACACGCAGAGCCGGACCATCGACACTGGCGCTCTTCAGAGGTGGTGGGAGGAGACTACCGCGATAGCTCAGCGGATGTCGGTCGACGCCGTGTCTGTCGATGCTAATGCGCGTGTCGGTAGCATGTCGTCTACCGCTGCCGGGGTTGGAGGATGGGCGGAGGAAGAAAATGTCTCGGGTACCTGCTTTCACCAGTTCATGTGCGAGCTTGGCCCTGTCGCCCCCTCCACCTTCTCTGATCCCAGTTGGAGCAGGGACACTGAGCCCAGCGGTTTCACCTTTGTGAAGAATGGCGCCTACCACAGGATCGATTACGTTCCTGTGAAACCTCACTTCGTGCCAGCCATCGTTTTCGAACAAGTGTGGAGTGATCTCGATGATCTGATGGAGGTCAGTGATCATTTCCTTGCTGTGCTGGGAATGGCGTGGGCAATCCACGACAGCCCAGATCCTAGTTGCCGCAGCGGGGTTAGCAGGCCGAGATACAACCGTAAGTTGACCAGAGATCAGCATGGAGCCGCGATCATTAAGTCACTCGTGTGTACCATCCCCCTGATGCCATGGCCGACCGACATCAACAAACATTACAGCCAAGTTCAGGAGCATATACTTTGGGCGGCGGCTGCCGCTTTCCCTGTCCAGGAAGTCTACCCGAGGAAGCCCTACACTGATCAGCTCACTCTCTACTTCGTCAAGTGGAGACGAAAGAACAAGGCCGTCCTTCGTGCAAGAGCCCAAGCGATGTACAACTGGGCCAACACTCTTGTTCTGCCATGTCATACCCCTGTTTTTGAGTGCGGTGAAGAGGCGCACAGCCTCCTCATCTCCTTTTAAGCCTGTCTGTGGGAGCTTAAGCTGGCTGCATTGGCCTTCTTGGAGCTCATGGACCTCGATTCTTGGGACGGGGCGCTTAGGGGCTTCCTCTCCGCCACGGCTGGACTGCTCAGGAAGAAATTGGACATTGATAAGACCGACACCCTTGAAAGGATGGTCAGCGAGATGAGTGAGGCCATCGAGGATGGAAATGCTAAAAAAGAATGGCAGGTTGCTAGATCCCTTCAGGCTTTCGGAGGACGCAGGATGAAACTCCAGAGTGGTGCTCTTCCCATTCGTAACGGGCCCGACGGATGCCCCCTTCAGACGAAAGCCGAGGTGGCTGATTCGGTTTAAGCTTATTTTGCTGGCATAGAAGGCGGGCCCTGTACACCGAAAGAGATCATTGCGTCAAGTAGAGCGAAGATAATCGTGACCGCCCCCCCTCCTTGAGTGCCCCCCTGAAAATCTGATGACTCGGGACCAACTTCGTTTCTCGTTTTCGCAGGCCACCGCAGGCAAGGCTGGAGGACCTGATGACGTCGTTGATGATCTGTTGCGATGCGCCCCCGCCGAGACTGCCCGTCTGGCCCACCCGGCCACCTTAAAGGCGGGCATGCGCGCTCAGGAGCCTCTTGCGTTCAAGGGTGGGTGGGCTCATGACTTGTATAAGAACAGTGGCAACGCGGCGACGCACGAGAGCTATCGCCAAATACTTCTCATGAACAGTGTTGCCAAGCACCATCGCAAATTTTTGAGGGATCAGTTTAAAACATTAGTTGCGGGGCTTATGATTGAGACCCAGATGGGTGGGGCCCAGGGTAAAGGGACCGACATGGCGGCCCATATGGTTCGCACTTTCTCGGCTGTGTCCTGCGCCAAGGGTCTCTCCACGGTGCTTGCTCCCATCGATTTGAAATCGGCTTTCTACAAGGTTATCCGACCCATCGTCACGCCTTTCCTTCTGGACCCCCAGGACATAGCTGACGCTGTCGATGCCGCCGATATCCCGAGGCCCTGGTGCCGATCTTAGAGCACACCATCGCGCAACCTTCTGTCTTGGCGGGCCTCGACAATTTTCACACGTTAAGGATGCTGGCGGATCTTCACACCAGCACCTGGTTCAAAACCAAGGGGGCCCGAGGAGTTATTCGAACCACCGCTGGCAGCCGTCCTGGTAGCTCGCCTGCTGACCTTGTTTTCAATCTCCTATTCGCGCCCATCGTGCGCGAAATTCGTGAGGAACCCAGCAGCGCCAACTACCTGCTTGAGCTTGACGGCCAGCAGGACCCTCTCTTTTCTCTGCCCCAGGACGCTGAGACTGATTGTCTCGCGGACAGCACCTTTGTTGACGACCTCTGCGTCATGGCCGTGGTTCAATGTGCTGCCGACCTCCCCCCGGCGATGTCTGACGTGGTCGTCACCATCAGCAACGCCACGGTCAAGAGAGGCATGGCTATATATATATATATATATATATATATATATATATATATATATATATATATAAAATAAAAAAAAATCAGCGCTCCTTGTACACCCTCGAGGTGCGGGAGCCCGCGCGGTCAAGGCCGATCTCTTCCCTGTTGATGACCCTGTTTATGTCACCAACTATGATGATGAAATATTCCTCCAGAGATCTTACAAGTACCTTGGTACCATGTTAGCCTAGAATGGAAGCGTCGCCCCCGAGTTAGCCCATCGCAGGGCCCAACGAATGACGGGGCTCGGACCTCTTCGTAGGACGATTCTCAAGGCCAAAAGGTTACCCATCAAGACTCGGGCCAAATATGTTGACGCTCTCTGCGCTTCGAGATTGCTTTACAATGCCCACGTTTGGGGAGAGTTGTCTAGGGAGCAGCAGCTAGCGATGGTTGCCGCCCACTTGGCCCCTTTCAGGACCATCCGGGGGATACGGCTCGGACGTCCTGACCAGCCGCATGTTGCCAACGAGCAGGTCTTGCTCGATGTCAACAGGCTCGCTGTTCCCGACATCCTGCGTCTCATGCGTCTTCGGTACTTAGCCAGGCTGATGACTTCGGCCCCGCCACAGCTGCGGCAGCTCCTCGATCTGGAAGGCCGCTGTAGGAAGTCTTGGGGCGCTCTTATACGAGAGGATCTGGCTTGGTTGCAGAATTTCTACGATTTAAAGCAGATCACACACTCTCTGCTCGCGAGCTTTTGTTGCAGGCGTCGGCCGACCCAGCCCGCTGGAAAAGAATCTGCAGGACTGCGGCACGAAACTTTAAAACATGGCAAGCAGATCAGCATCGGCTGCAGTTGTGGAGAAAGGATTTGCGTAACATATGTAAGGCTCACGCCATTCCGCCGCCTGATACTGCTCCGCTCCCTGAGCCGATCACGAAGTACGTTTGCGATACTTGCCAGTATGTGTGCTTCCATGAAGGAGCCATGCGTTCTCACATCACTAAGAAGCATGACGACCCAGCGGGCAGAATCGCCGAGACGGGTCTGTGCCTGGCTTGTGGGGTTGACTTTGTCACGCGTCCCCGTCTCCTCAAGCACCTTCGGCATGCTCGTACGGGCTGTCTCGAGCTCTGGAGTCGTACCGTTGCTCCCCTCCCCGACGCGAGATACAAGGAGTTGCGCGAAGATGATCGCACTTTGGTGGCCTCCCTGAAGGCCAAGGGTATGCGCGCCACCGAGGCCGACATTCCCGCTCGCCCCGAGGACCCTGGCGATGCCCTCCATTCTGCCCTGGATGGTCTCGGTCCTCCTCTGCTCCGCCCTACCTTCACCCCCGTTGTTTGGTTCCCCGAGGCCGAAGGGTATGTCCCTCCGAGCCCCCGTAGGCTTCAGCCTAGCGAAACTAGATACATTCTCCATCTCTTTAGCGGACAAAGACGGAGAGAATATTTTCAGCACTGTGTAGAGCTGTTTCAGATTCTTGAGGCTCCCACTGGGCCCTTGCCGTTCTCTCGATCGACATCGTCAACAATGATGTCGACGGCGATCTCAGGTCTCACAGTGCCCGCAACAAACTTGCTTCTTTCGTTTTCCAAGGTCTCGCCATTGGTGTTCTTGTCAGACCCCCTTGCGAGACCTGGTCGTCGGCTCGATTTCTAGAGGTCCCCCAAGGCCAGCGTTCTCGACCGCTTCGGTCTATACAGTTCGAGTGGGGTCGACCTCTAGCCACTCCCAGAGAGTGGGCCCAGATTTCTACAGCGAATGATCTGTATCGTGCCGCGTTGTATTTCATGTACGTTTGTCTTGCTTCGGGTGCCTGCGGTATACTAGAGCACCCTGCTTGCCCGTTGAATCAGGTGCTCCCACGAGTTGGTTTCTTAAGGAAACCAGCCACATGCGGACCTTGTCTTCGATGGGTTTCAATGTAGACACGATCTGGATTGACCAGTGTATGCTTGGTTCGCAATCGACGAAACCAACGATGCTCCTGACTGTGAATCTTCCCTCCGTGCGCAGAGAAGTCCACATGATGCCGAACAGAGGACGCTGCAACCACGGAGGCCACGCAATTCTGGAGGGAGTCGATAACATTGGCCGTTGGAAGACCCAGGCTGCCAAGCAGTATCCTCCCGAGCTGTGCATGTTTCTGGCCCGACATTTTGTCACGTTCGCTTGCCAGGAGCTCAGAGAGAGGGGTGAGGTCCATCCGCGGAGCTGTGTTGACCTGACCCGTCACCCCCCTCTCGATCCGTCTTTGGCGTGCTTCTTTTGCCCGCTTGACCCGTATTGTGAGGCCCAGCAGGTCGGTGCCTAAGGTCAAGATTTCCAGTTGTAAGCGCGCCTTTCCCGAATTCACGTGCGGGCAGCGGATCATCGTCCCTATGCCGTCAAACAGAAACAGGAGGAGGAGGAGGAGGAGGAGGAGGAGGAGGAGGAGGAGGAGGGGGAGGAGGCGGAGGAGGAGGGGGAGGAGGAGGAGGAGGAGGAGGAAGAAGAGGGGGTTGTGACAGCTTCTTCGGCCCGCTGCAGCTCACATGCCCGGCCAACTAGCACCCGAACTGCCGCGGCATCAGGAGGCTGTCCTCGGGGAGGCCAGAAGGTGCCGACACCGCTCCCCCCCGGACCTCTCCCGGGGTGCGCTCGAACCAGGACTTCGAGGCGAGTCCAGCGGTGGCGGCGAGGGCCTCCCCGGAGGCCCCCAGAAAAGGGAAAGGCGGGCGGGGGTAGAGAAGTGGGTGCCCTTTCTCCTCCTCTGCGTCCTGGAACGGGCACGCCCTCGGGCTGCCCCCCAGCTTGCAGGGCGGCTGCGACCCGCGGGCGCCGAAGCGCTCGCAGAGGCGGTCGCAGTCGAACGTGTCCTCCAGGGACTGGAGACCTCTGGGGCGCCGAGCCGGTGCCGAAGATGATGATGATGATGATGATGATGATGATGATGATGATGATGATGATGATGATGATGATGATGATGATGATGATGATGATGATGATGATGAAGATGATGATGATGATTCTGATGATGATGATTATGATGATGATGATGATGATGATGATGATCTTGATGCTGATGATGATGAATATTGATGATGATGATGCTGATGATGATGGCGATGATGATGATGCTGCTGCTGATGATGATGATGGCGATGATGATGCTGGCGATGATGATCATCATTATCATCATCACGACCATCACCATCATCAGCATCACAATCAGCACCATCATCATCATCATCATCATCATCATCATCATCATCATGATCATCAGCATCAGCATCGGGTGGGGCTGAAGGAGAGAGTTCCATCGGATCGGGACAGAAGCGGATCGGGACATCCATCGGGGACCTGTGAGACAGGAGGATCTGGCGGGTGTATCGGGCACCGCAGCTGTGCCAGAGCGCCCCAGAAGACTCCGAGCGCTCCAAAGCGCTCTGAAGGGAGCTATCCCGGCACCAGGCATGCCCAAAGAGTCAGCGACCCCCGGAACTCCCGACACTGCCTCCGATACTGATCTCGCGCAACGCGCGGGACAGTTCTCGGGTCGGGGGCTGCCCAGGGCCGAAAGGGGCACCGAGGCCTGAAACGTCGAACACTGGCGGACCCCAAAACTGAAACCCTGACAATTCGGGGGGGGCACAACATGTACCGACAGCGCTACTCCACGGACCCTTCCTGGAAAGCGTTCTGAACAGGACTTCGAGGCGAATCTGGCCGTGGCGACGAGGAACGGGTAATTAGCGGTGTCGTTTTGACTCTCCTCCGATGGAGTTCTAATCCCTTGGAGTTCCTGTCGTGAACCACCGTCAGCACCACTCCTTGACGAACCGAAGAACTATGAGCCCCGCCAGCGGCTGGGCGCCCGTCCGACGGGCACCGCACCGCGGAGCACTCACAAATTCTTAGAGCCATCCGGCGTGGTGGTGGTGGTCATGGTGATGGTGGTGCTGAGCACCACCATCACCGCCCACACGAAAGGGTTGGCCACCCCTTTCTACGCCAGCTTCGCGACCTCGCCCGCCAGGGCGTCGACTCGCGCGCCCCTGACTCCGCCGCGCAGACAACGCGTGCGACCCAGGAGCCCTGCTTCTCCCATATCTGATGATCTGCAACCAACGCACTGCCACAAGGAACGCTGCACGAGGAACGAAGGGGCTTCTCTGGCCACGGCGGGCCTCGGGGCCACGAAGAGCTTCCCGGGCCCAGATAGGCGGAACGGCTCGAAGGCCCAAAGGCCCCTCCTGAGGCCACCAAAGGTGGTCCTCAGATCAGCGTCTGGACTGCACTTCTGCCCCATTGGAGCGCCCTGGCGGGCCAAAGTCTCGCAGCATGCTGTCTGCCTTGCGCGGGATGCCCACGTAGTGCCACAGGAAGGCCGCGTTCGCGATCGGAGGCGGCCGGGTGGCGTTCATGAACGAAGCGCGGTAGCGGGGCTCGTTGGACCAGGGCCTGTAGTTGATGTCGACCACCTCTGGGTCTAGCAGCCGCACGTTGGGGTCATGGCCCCGAGCTCCTGGGGGACCGAGCAGCCTGTCCACGTTCTTCCGCCAGCACCCCAGGTAGGACTGCCAGTTGCACCCCATGCTCGCGCGGCCCATGGCCGACAACACCACCTGCGGCAACGCGAACCACATGCACTCCGACGTGTAGTCGAGCACCACCCCGCCTGCCACACCCGCGGCCGCGGCCCGAGACAGCGCGATGACCTCCAGCAGAGTCTCGTACTCGGCAGACTGCCGCGCCTGGCACCAGCCGCTGCCCCCGGCCACGTCCACGGGCCAGCGGCTCTTGCGCGGGCAAGATTTATACCCATCGTTATCCACTGTGTCTTTGGCTTTTGGGGAAGGGGTGCCAGATAGTTACCCGAGACGCAGCGCATGTGGATAAGACCCTGGCCTCGCTGGAGGCGGGCCTTGTATCCACGTGCTCTGCAACTCGGTTCTCTAGGGAAGGGACTCCGAGAATACGACAGTGAATATGTGCACAGATCTTGCTTGCATCTTGGCCAGCAAAAGCTCGAGGTAGAGCAGCCCCCAGGGCGACCGCGTGAGACCCACGACGCCCCCGTTGCAATCCTCGCCCTCCCGCGGGTCGCGGACGATCACGCCGGGCCAGCTGTCGGGGCTGCCGCGGAGGCCCAGCGCCTCAGGCAGCCCCACGTCGAAGCAGCTCGGGAAAACCGACGTGTCGGGATCCACGACAAGCAGGAGGTCGTAGGCGTGCAAGTGGCGGCGAGCGGCGTACCAACGCTGCCACCACTTGAACGTGATGCCGTCTGAGCCGGCCTCGGGATACAGACAAAAACTCATTCAACCACTCCAAGCTGGAACTTTTTGCCCCTCGGGGTCCGAGGAGCAAAAAGTGTCGCTTAGGCAGAGGCCGCTTAGGCAGAGCGCGATCAAACATATAGCCTGTAGCGGCCAATGACTGCTGCAACAGACGAACCATGAAAGTAGCCAAACAAAAATCAAACACATATTCACGAATAGTAGAGAAACTAATCCCCAGACTATTTTTGGACTATTCTTGAATATTCCCCCTGTAGAAGGACAGGCCCGACTGAATCCAAGAGTCCTCAGGCCTTGAACAGCAGCGGCTCCTCCTCCAAGAAGTTCACCGCGCCGGGGCCGAAGTCCGCATGCAGCGCCGCTAGCCCCTCCGTGCCCTCGGCGGCGCCGAAGCGGAACTTCTCCGGGAGGCTCGGGAATGGCGTCGTGTCGAATATGAAGGTCGGCGGTTCAGAAGTGGGGGCCCTGATTCTGATCCAGACCCCCTCGATTGATGAAAAAATCACGACGGGAGGTCTTTCACAATTTTCGGCCTCTGGGGGCCCCTACCGGGCCTCGTCACCGTCAAAAAAACGACTCGGGATGAAAAACAGGTCCCGGGGAATGGGTCGAGACCTCTGGGGTTGTGCATACCATGACAGTGGACACTCTAACAATCCTATCATTGAATTAAAGATGTGTTTAAAATGTGTAAACCATGTTCGAAACATGTTTCAAACATGTTTTTTACATATTCAAAATATGTTTGAAACATCTTTTAGACATCTGGGAATTATTTGGCAGCATGCTTCCTCTCCATTAATCGACTTCCACAACTCTGGGGGTCGATGTCATGAAACAATCATGACGTCGGGGGCCTGGGATAGAGGGGGCCTGAAGGACAGGAAGGGATCCCAAGGTCAACTCAGAGCGTTTGAGGCTCCTCGTCCTCGCGGTCTTCGTGCTGCCACAATCGAGGGGCCCAAGGACACACAAGATTTTCCCATATTTCCTGGGTTTTTGTCTTCCCCTCCACTTCCCATATTTTCCCATGTTTTCTGGGGAATCGGCGAGTAATTGTGTCTGTGTTATTGTTCCCTCCTGACACAAGTAGGAGCTGAATGACAGACGACTTGGCTTTTCTTCTGGCCACGGCTTAGGTTGCAACTACTGGGAGCTTTTCGTCGGAGGGATTCAGGAGGATGAGGCCCCGTTGGGGGGCTGCTGCGCCGAATTAGGCTGCGGATCAAGCGGGATTGAATCGGATAAAGCGGGATTCAGCGGGATTAGTCAGGAACAGGCCAGCTGACGCCGGATTTCGGAACGGGGCAAAGTCAGAATCTGACCTCCCAGGAGTTGCATCTGAACGCGGCGACCCTCGGCCACGAATAAGCAGGCTCCCCGACCTGGAGGAACGGCCGAGAGCCGGAGCCTCTCCAGAGCCCGGAGTGCTCATTCCTCCAGAGTCTTGACTGAAGGGCCCCATCTCTGAGCCGCCGGGAAGTGGTACCCGTGCCGTCGCGCGTAGCACTGCCACAGGCCGGCGCCGACCTGGCAGGCTTTCTTACCAGCTTGAGAAGGTCGCAGTGTGGCTTAGGCGAGAGGAGCAAGCAGCAGGCCCAGACCCCCGACGCCGTGACTTGCTTCACAACGTCGACCCCCAGAGGTCTCGACCCTCTCCCCGAGACCGCTCTCTCACCGGGTTCTTTTTGTTGACGGTGCCGGGGCCGGGCAGGGGCCGCCCGAGGCCGAAAATAGCGAAAAGCCTCCCGTCGCGACTGTCTCTCACAACGCGAGGGGGGGGTCTACAGGCGGATATTGAACGAAAAAGAAGATAGTATCCAAAAGATCTTCAAACATAGCCCAAACTATATTCACAAAATCGTCCCCCAACTATCTTTGACGATTGCTGGGGGAAGGGAGGAGGAGCCAGAGGACCTGGCACACGTCACTGGCGGCCGAGTCGGGCGTGCAGGCCGTGAGGACCGCCACGCGCGGCGCGCCGCCCCGCGCCGCCCGCGCGGCAGCGGTGCCCGCGGCGCGCTCGAGGCCTCGCAGCACCTGCGGGAGGCGCGCGGCGAGCTCGCTCAGGTGCACCTCGGAGTAGCAGGGGAACAAAGAGTGGCAGGAACACAGAGACTCGGAGGGCCGCGCGGAATTCTCGGATCGGCGCTGGACCCCCCCTCCCTGGCGCGCGGAGCGCGCCAGGGGCGGGGCCAGAGGCGCCGCCAGGGGGGTCCAGCGCGGATCCGAGAACTTCGCGCGGCCCTCCGAGTTTTTATGTTTATGTCATTGTTTGCTCCCCTAGAGTGGGGGGCAGGGGTCGACTGCAGAGCCGAATTGCCCCACGGAGGCGTTCCAAAAAGGGCCCTGCCTTTTCGAGGGTCGGGGGAGCTGCCATCTCTTCCGCGGCGGAAGGCGGCGGATGGTCGGAGGAAGGCGTCGGAAGTAGAACAGGCGGCGGCTCCGCCGGCTGAAGCTCGGCGGAAGCCAGCGGAAGCAACAGTCGACCTCCCAAGAGATGACAATCTTTTCGGGGCTCAGGGCCTCCGAAATCCGCCAAGTCTTGATATTCTTCGTCGAGCATAAGTAATACGTGTTTTGGTAGATCCGGCGGAAGCAGTCATTCTGTGACTACCTACCAGACCACCCGAAGACCCGAATTTCGGGTTGGGGGGGGTACGGGTTTCATGTGTGTGTTTCCCAACCATCCTGTGGTGTTGGGTCCTCGTTTTGAAGAGACGGTGGCCCGCGTCTCCTCTCCTCCTCCTCCTCCTCCTCCTCCTCCTCCTCCTCCTCCTCTCCTCCTCCTCCTCCTCCTCCTCCTCCTCCACCTCCTCCTCCCTCCTCCTCCTCTTCCCTGCGTTTCACCCACCCAGTACAACGCTTCGTAGCCCCATAGGAGCTCCGCCGAAGGCCCCAGTGCGGCCGCCCGCATGCGTCACGCACACCCATTTCGGCACACCCCTCGCACGTTTCGTGGCCCCATAGGGAGCTCCGCCGAAGGCCCCAGTGCTGCCGCCCGCAGGCGTCACGCACACCCATTTCGGCACACCCCTCACACGTTTCGTGGCCCCATAGGGAGCTCCGCCGAAGGCCCCAGTGCTGCCGCCCGCATGCGTCACGCACACCCAATTCGGCACACCCCTCACACGCTTCGTGGCCCCATAGGAGCTCCGCCGAAGGCCCCAGTGCTGCCGCCCGCATGCGTCACCCACACACAATTCGGCACACCCCTCACACGTTTCGTGGCCCCATAGGAGCTCCGCCGAAGGCCCCAGTGCTGCCGCCCGCATGCGTCACCCACACCCAATTCGGCACACCCCTCACACGTTTCGTGGCCCCATAGGAGCTCCGCCGAAGGCCCAGTGCTGCCGCCCGCATGCGTCCCCACACCCAATTCGGCACACCCCTCACACGTTTCGTGGCCCCATAGGGAGCCCCCGAAGGCCCCAGTGCTGCCGCCCGCATGCGTCCCGCACACCCAATTCGGCACACCCCTCACACGTTTCGTGGCCCCATAGGGAGCCCCACCGAAGGCCCCAGTGCTGCCGCCCGCATGCGTCCCGCACACCCAATTCGGCACACCCCTCACACGTTTCGTGGCCCCATAGGGAGCTCCACCGAAGGCCCCAGTGCTGCCGCCCGCATGCGTCCCGCACACCCAATTCGGCACACCCCTCACACGTTTCGTGGCCCCATAGGGAGCTCCACCGAAGGCCCAGTGCTGCCGCCCGCATGCGTCCCGCACACCCAATTCGGCACACCCCTCACACGTTTCGTGGCCCCATAGGGAGCCCCACCGAAGGCCCCAGTGCTGCCGCCCGCATGCGTCGCACACCCATCACCCCCTCACACGTTTCGTGGCCTAGGGAGCTCCCGAAGGCCCCAGTGCTGCCGCCCGCATGCGTCACCACACCCAATTCGGCACACCCCTCACACGTTTCGTGGCCCCATAGGGAGCTCCGCCGAAGGCCCCAGTGCTGCCGCCCGCATGCGTCACCCACACCCAATTCGGCACACCCCTCACACGTTTCGTGGCCCCATAGGGAGCTCCACCGAAGGCCCCAGTGCTGCCGCCCGCATGCGTCCCGCACACCCATTCGGCACACCCCTCACACGTTTCGTGGCCCCATAGGGAGCTCCACCGAAGGCCCCAGTGCTGCCGCCCGCATGCGTCACGCACACCCAATTCGGCACACCCCTCACACGTTCGTGGCCCCATAGGGAGCTCCGCCGAAGGCCCCAGTGCTGCCGCCCGCATGCGTCCCCACACCCATTTCGGCACACCCCTCACACGTTTCGTGGCCCCACTCTACCGAAGGCCCCAGTGCTGCCGCCCGCATGCGTCACGCACACCCAATTGGGCACACCCCTCACACGTTTCGTGGCCCCATAGGGAGCTCCGCCAAAGGCCCCAGTGCTGCCGCCCGCATGCGTCACGCACACCCAATTCGGCACACCCTCACACGTTTCGTGGCCCCAAAGGGAGCTCCGCCGAAGGCCCCAGTGCTGCCGCCCGCATGCGTCCCGCACATTCATTTCGGCACACCCCTCACACGTTTCGTGGTCCCATAGGGAGCTCCACCGAAGGCCCCAGAGTGTTGCCGCACGCATGCGTCCCGCACACCCATTTCGGCACACCCATCACGCGTTTCGTGGCCTCATAGGGAATGCGTCCCGCACGCCCATTTCGGCATACCCTTCACACGTCTCGTGGCCCCATAGGGAGCTCCACCGAAGGCCCCAGAGCTGCCGCCCGCATGCGTCACGCACACCCAATTGGGCACACCCCAGTGGGTGTGCCCGCATGCGTCCCGCACATCCATTTCGGCACACCCCTCACGCGTTTCGTGACCCCTCACACGTTTCGTGGTCCCATAGGGAGCTCCACCGAAGGCCCCAATGGGTGTGCCCGCATGCGTCCCGCACACCCATTTCGGCACACCCCTCGCACGTTTCGTGGCCCCGTAGAGGGGCTCCACCGAAGATCCCAGTGCTGCCGCCCGCATGCGTCCCGCACACCCATTTCGGCATACCCTTCACACGTTTCGTGGCCCCAAAGGGAGCTCCGCCGAAGGCCCCAGTGGGTGTGCCCGCATGCGTCCCGCACACTCATTTCGGCACACCCCTCACGCGATTCGTGACCCCTCGCACGTTTTGTGGTCCCATAGGGACATCCACCGAAGGCCCCAGTGGGTGTGCCCGCATGCGTCCCGCACACCCATTTCGGCACACCCCTCGTACGTTTCGTGGCCCCGTAGGGGGCTCCACCGAAGAAGATATTCACAACTGCGGTACTCACAATTGCATGTGGTTGGGTCCTTCGCCAGGATAATTTCAATGTTCCCCGCCCCCCTCCCCCCCAAACTGGAACTCGAGGGCAAATTGAGGCCTTCGGGTTGGGCTGGGGTGGTTTGGTGGGTGGTGATTTTGGGGCACATAGATTCTGTAGTCGATCTCCCCCTCGAACCTCGCGCCACCGCCGGGCCTGCTCGTTCAGGCCGGAAACGAGCGTCACCTCGTCGATCCTGGATGGGGGGGTAACAAGGAGGTGCCGATCCAGCCACGTCGCATAACAGTGAGGATGCGCGGTAAGGATGCAAGGGTCTTGGAAGGCCGTGCTGACGTTTCTCGAACGGGATCTGCCAGCGAAAGTTGCCACAAATGGGCCGAAGGGGCAAGGATGCAAGGGTAGCCTTGGAACGCTGCTTATCCTTACTTATATGCGACTGAACTGTATGCCGCCGCCCCAGATAACTCTCCAGGGATGCGTTCTGACCAGGACTTCGAGGCGAACCCAGCCGTGGCGACGGGGGAGGGGCAGCGGCATTGGTACCCCTTCCTCCTCTGAGGTCCTGAGCTCCCTCGCGCCCCCGAGCGCGTGCCGCTCGTTGTCCACGCGGTGCACGAGCTGTGCAAACTCCCGGACGTCGGCTACGCGCAGGAGCGGCCTTTGCAGAAAGAGTGGCCTTCGGTGCGCGGCTGCTTCAGGAGATCGCGGGGAGGCCAGGGATCCGAGCGAGCAGGCCAAGTGCTTGGGGGACCCCTGTGGGCCCGCACCAACAGGTCCCTCCGGCGAAGGATCTGGGGAAACCCAAAGGGTGCCGATACCGCTACTCCCAAGACCTCTCCAGTGGTGCGCTCTGGAAAGAATTTCGAGGCGGATCCAGCGATGGCGACGAGGACCTCCCAGGCGGCCTCCGAAAGGAGAGAACGAGGGGAAGGTGGCGGTATCCTCCTCTGAGGATCACTCTTGCGCGTAGCCGAGGCTGGCGGCGCCAAAATCGCTGCCAGCGTCCGCCAGCGCCGCCGCCGCGCGCCGGTGCAGCTCCTCTGGGCCCGCGGGCGGGTCCCGGCAGCAGCGCCGGAAGCCGAGGGGCGCGCCGCCGAGGAGGGCCCCCGCCCAGCAGGCCGAGTTGCCGGCGGGCCCGAAGACGGAGACGGCGCAGCACCTGAAGGAACTCTGGGTGACTCAGAACCCAGACCCCCTCGAGCAATGAAAAAAATACGACGAGAGGTTGTTCACACTGTTCGGCCTCTGGGGGCCCTTACCGGGCCTCAGAGCCGTCCAAAAACGACTCGGGATGAAAGTCGGTCCCGGGGAATAGGTCGAAACCTCTGGGGTCGACGTCATGAAAACATCATGACGTCTGCGGTCTGGGAAAGGGGGTCCAGCTGAAAGGGGGTGGTGCAATAGATTTGGGCCAATTGTATTGCAAAAGTAAATTGCGCCTGAGAAATGTACTGCATATTGTATTCCAACTAATGTACTGCACGCGAGAATCCAGCAACACATCTGCGTCCCGGAATGTACTGCACGCCCTAGATCTATTGCAACCCACAAATCCATTGCACCAGATCTGTTGCACCACCCCCTTCTAGCTGGACCCCCCTCTGGGTCAACCAGAGGAACAGATGACGGCAGAGGAAAGCCCCAATCAATGCGATGGATACCCAGACCTCCTCGCGATGTGAAAAAAGTACGGCGGGAAATTGTTTGTTATGGTCAGCCTCTGGGGCTCTTCCCGGGCCTCGGGACCGTCAACAAAACGACTCGCGATGAAAAACTGGTCCTAGGGAAGGAGTCAAGACCTCTGGGGGTCGACGTCATGTAAACATCATGACGTCGGGGTCTGGGTAGTGAGATCGATGATAAAATCGATCATGAGATCGACCATGAGATCAATGGTGAGCTCGATCGTGTTTCGCCAAATCTTTCAATATCCGCTTGGACCCCTTCAGTGCAAGCGCTGACTGGGGAACAACTGTGCAAAGGAGCATACACTTTCGGAGATTCGCGCGGACTTCTCGGAGCGGCGCTGTGGGTCCAGCGCCGATCCAAGAGACCCGCTGCGTGGTATGCAGCTGTTCCCACGTAGCCACTGCATGCATCCCCAAGATTCTGTCCTGACTCTGGCAGCTCGCGCGCGCGCTGTTCGCGTCACGAGCCAAACAAACAGAGATCGCGAAGCAGATCCACAACTGGTGACCCAAACTGGCCCCCCCACCCCCGGCGGCGGCACCCTGGGGAATCCCTCGCAGAGGGGGTGCCGGGACTGGGGGTTGGGGGTGAGATTTCGGCGGCCTTCGAGGCTAACGCTCGAGCGTGAGCCGCTCCCCAAAATCTCACCCTCGGTCGAGGCACCCATTCGGCAAGTCTGCCCTCACCCCTGTGGCGATCGGGTGTGGGGGGGCCATTTTGGCTCACGAACAACCCCGATCCCGAGGGGTAAAGACCGATGCTGCACTAGTTATGCTGCGCAGTGTCGCTTGTGCAGTCTGTCTGCTCGTCGAGCACCCCCAGGAAGCTCCGGTCGTCCAGCCGGCAGGCGGGGTTCCCAAAGCTGCTCTGGCAGACCCCATTATGATCGGCAGGGATCTGGCAGCAGGGGGCGAAACCCTTGCGGATAAAACATAAGAATTCGGAGGTCCCTCACCCTGGGCCCTCTCGGAAGCTGGGTGAGGGCTAGCAAATCTGGGCTGCTGAACCGGTCTTCCCAGAAGAGCAAAACAAATTCCCAGATTAAAACTCAGCGCACTGAATAATAAACGGGCTGCTTCCCAGAAGAAAAATGTTTCCTGGAGCTCCGTTTGACCAGCCACGGGTTTGACAGCCTTTGCCCGGCTTCTGACCCTCTCCAGGAGGCTCCAGCGCCGATCCGAGTGATCCGCGCGAAGCTCTGACTGGTTTTTTGTTATGCAGTTGCTTGTTCCTGTTCTTCTGGGGGCCTGCTATGTGGGCTCGGAGTAGATGGAGTCGAAGGATCGCGCCGCCTTGCCGATGCATCGGCGAAGCATTGACGATGCACCGGCGATGTCGGCGATGCACTGGCGCCGTCGGCGTGGCGAAAGACGGGCCCCACACCGAGCCGCATCGCCGATGCGTCGGCGATGCGGCGCGATCCTCCGACCACGTCTGCTCGGACCCCGTCTGTCTGCAGCCTTGTATCCCTGACGGATGCGTGGGCAAGAATACATCAAACAGTGCGGCTTGGATGAGTATTCGTACGTCGTACGCAGGCCCTAGGCAGGTGGTGATTCATAGAACATGCCCCGGTTCGTCCCATCTATGGGCTCACGTCAAAGATCTGGCAGCCCTTGGCGTGCAACAGCTCACGCGCAAGACAAAAGTGGACAATTACAAAGATGTGTGCCCCAAACTGCAGTTGTTCTTCGTCGCCCAAATCGGCGACAAGCGAGGGGGAAAGTGAGAAGGGGCGGGCCTTCTCAGAAGGCTCGGAAGTCCCCTGGCCTTCCGAGAAGTCTTCTGGGCCTTCCCCGAAGGCGCAGAAACTCTCTCGGAAGGCACAAGGGCTTCTGAAAACCCCCGCCGCTCTATGAGAAGTCCTTCTCCTTCTCACCTCCCCCCCCCCCTTCGCTCGCCGCCGATAAAAAAAATTTGGGCGGGTGCTCAAAGGGGGGTGCTCCAGACTGGGGGGCGAGGACGAGGTCCCAAAAAAAGGTGGCATCTGCAGGGCCCCCTTTTGGAGCCAGCAGGTGCCCAAAAGGGCACCCTGGGGGGCCCCCTTCGCCCTTCGCCCCCCCCTGGGTGGGCCGCCCCCCACACCATCAGCACTCGCCCGACACCTAGGTGCCCCGAGGAGGAGGAGGAGGAGGGGGAGGAGGAGGAGGAGGAGGAGGAGGAGGAGGAGGAGGAGGAGGAGGAGGAGGAGGAGGAGGAGGAGGAGGAGGAGGAGGCCCCGAGCACCCCAGGAAGCTCCGGCCCTCCACCCAGCAGGCGGGGTTCCCGAAGCTGCTCGCCACCATCGCCGCACGGGCCGCCGCGCGCCGCCCGCCGCGGCCCGCGCGGCCCGCCGGGCGGCATCGGCGCTGCGGCGCCCCGGCGCGGTGGGCCGAGCTCGCGCGCCGACCGCCACGCGATGGCGTCGAGAGCCAAAAGTGGCTACAGCAGGTGACTGGACTCCCTGCCAGGCCACCCCAGCCCAACCCTAAGTTACGGGTTCCATAATTGTGTGTTTTTTCAGAATGTTCCTCCACCACCCCACTGGAAATGGAGGGCAAATTGAAGCCTTCGCGTTGGGCTGGGGTGGTTTGGTGGGTGGTGAGTAGGAGCTCGCCCACACGAAACCTTCCACACGAAACCCCGCCCTGAGACCCCAGGGCGTCCACTGGCTTTCGGCTCGGGAACGTCGCGTTCCCCATCGCAGAACCATCGAACCCCACGAAGCCCAGGGCACCCTGGAGGCCAGCATTAAGTCGGGCGTGTCCCCCTACAGGGGGATCTTGGACGACAAATAATTATCCAAGTGCGACCCTACCTAGGAGTTGTAACCCCTAGGAAAGCAGCATTAGTAGTAACAGTAACGCTAAGCTAAAGCTAAGCTAAAGCTAAGCTAAAGCTAAGCTAAAGCTAAGCCACAGCTAAGCCACAGCTAAGCTAAAGCTAAGCTAAAACTAAGCTAAAGCTAAGCTAAAGCTAAGCTAAAGCTAAGCTAAAGCTAAGCTAAAGCTGAGCATCAGCTAAGCTAAAGCTAAGCTACAGCTAAGCTAAATATAAGCTAAATCTAAGCTAAAGCTAAGCTACAGTTAAGCTAAAGCTAAGCTAATGCTAAGCTAAAGCTACGCTACAGCTAAGCTCAAGCTAAGCTAAAGCTAAGCTAAAGCTAAGCTAAAGCTAAGCTAAACGCTAAGCGAACAGCTAAGCGAAACGCTAAGCTAAAGCTAAGCTACAGCTAAGCTAAAGCTAAGCTAAAGCTAAAGCTAAAGCTAAAGCTAAAGCTAAAGCTAAAGCTCCCAGGGGACTGGGGGGAACCGCTCCCAGGGGACTGGGGGAACCGCCCGGGGCGTGTTCCACTGCCCGGCCCCTTTAAGCTAAGAGAGTAAGAACCCTTCTAGGCAGAGCCTAGGTAGGGAAAAAGTACACAACAAATGCTTAAACAATGCTCATAAATAGTCAACACATCGTCCCCTGACTATTTTTGACTATTTTTGAATATACCTCCTGTAGAGCGACAGGAACAGACAGGCCCGACTCAAGGCCAGCAGGGTGTTTCTTGGCATGGTCGACGGCATCACCGCTCGCCTACCTGCAGTCGCCCGCACTTGGCCCCGCCTGCGCCCGTGGGTGCCCCGGCGCCACGGCCCGCCAGCCGCCCTGGCCCCCGCCGGCGGGGCTGGTCGCGCCAGCATGCTCAGGTGCAGACGCGTCCGCCCCGGAGCGGCCTGCTCTTTGCCCCCCCCCCCCCCCCCCCCTCCGCGGCCGCCCTGCCTGCCCCTCCACCGCTCCTGCACGCTGGCCAGTTCGCTCCTCGGTGCCCCCGTTTAGCTCTAGCGCTGGTGCAGCCATTTCTGGGCATGGAAGGGAAAGGAAGGAGAAGAAAAAGGAGGAGGAAGGGAATGAAAAGAAAGGAAGAGGGGACGGAGAGGAAAGGAGGAGGGAAGAAAGAGCGCGTTTCTTTTATGTTCGGCGATGACGGGCGTCATGGGGGGGGGGGGGGGGGGGGGGGGTATGACGTGACGCCCGCCCCCGCCGTGTGGTTCCAGCACCACAGCCGCGCCCGCGCGCACGACGCGACGAGCGACGAGCGACGAGCGACGACGACGACGCGAGCAGCATGTAGGTGACGATCTGCCCATTGCGCCTGTGTACACCACAACGCTCGCGTGCACCACACCGCGCGTGTGCACCACAGCGCCTGCGTACACCGCAAAACCCGTGTGCAACGCACCGCCCGTGTATACCACAATACTTGGGAGCACTGCAGCGCCGGTGTACATACACCGCAGCAGCCATGTGCAACACAACGCCTGTGTACACAACAGTGCTTGCGTGCACCGCAGCGCCTGCGCACGCCACAGCGCCTGTCTACACCGCAGCATCCGCGTGCAACGCAGCATTGGTGTACACCACAGTGCCTGCGTGCATAGGATAGGTAGGAGGAGCATGTCCGTCAGGATCCGCTGCGGACAACAATGCGACGTTTGTCCCTCCTCCCTCCTCCTCCTCCTCCTCCTCCTCCTCCTCCTCCTCCTCCTCCTCCTCCTCCCTCCTCCTCCTCCTCCTCCTCCTCCTCCTCCTCCTCCTCCTCCTCCTCCTCCTCCTCCTCCTCCTCCTCCTCCTCCTCCTCCTCCTCTCCTCCTCCTCCTCCTCCTCCTCCTCCTCCTCCCCCTCCCCCTTTTCCTCCTTGTTACCCCCTGTCGTGCGGCTTGGCTTTACAACGCACGTGCGCATCTCAGCGTGCACCGCAGAATGGTCGATTGAAGCGGTCCACTTGGTTCTCGGACGGCCAATTTAGCTGGAGCCTCCTGGACGCAAGTGGGAGTAAGGGTGATGCGGGCGGATTCGGGGGGACTCGTAGATTCCAGCGGCGCTCCTTTGTCCACGAGGATTTGTGTTCCATTGTGTTCTCTGGAATCCACACGCGCTCCATTTTATCACAAGGATTTCTTCTGTAATTCTATACACAACAATGGTGCTGTGTTGCACACGGCTGATGTGGTGCACACAGGCGCCGTGGCGCACGCAGGCACTGCAATGCACGCAGGCATTGTGGTGTACACTGGTGCTGTGTTGCGCACGGCTGATGTGGTGTACGGAAGCGCTGTGGTGTACACAGAAACTGCTGTGCCCGCAGGCACGGTGGCACAAACTGACGCTGTGTTGCACGCGGTTGCTGTGGTGTACATCGGCGGTGTGGTGTACACAGGCGCTGTGGTACACGCGGGCACTGTGATGTACACAGGCGTTGTGGTGCATATCGCCACCTACATGTTCGTGCTACCCGTCCTTCGTCATTCCTCAGCATTCGCAGACGCCGCCGGCGCGAAACGTGACGTCATCGACCCCCCCCCCAGATGATTGCCGTCATCGGCCCGGACGTACAAACAGGCTCCAGCCGCGTCCGCGCGCACGACGACGATGAGCGACGAGCGACGAACCCCGAGCGACGACGACAGACGACGACGACGACGACGACGACGACGACGACGACGACGACGACGCCTGCGGACCAGACACCTAAGCGGATTCCTAGGCGGACACCTACGCGGATCCCAATGCGCACGGCGGCAGTGCCCGGAGCGCACTGGGGGGGGGGGGAGCGTTACGTCATAGGGGGGGGGTGGAGCGGGGGCCATGACGCCCGTCATGCCCCAAGCAATAAAGAAACGGGCTCAAAGAGAGGAGGAGGAGAAAGGAGGAGGGGGAGGGAAGAAGAAGGAGGGAAGAAGGAGATGCAAGCAGGATGTTTCCTGGCATGGGTTGCCACTGTACGGACCCAGACCCCTTCGAAAACCACGAAAAATCTCACGACGGCGAGTTGTTTGGACATTCTCAGCCTCTGGGGGCCTTCACCAGGCCTCGGGACCGTCAACAAAACGGCCCGGGGCTCGGGACCGTCAACAAAGCGTCAGAGAAAAACCCCAATCAGTGCGATGGATACCCAGACCTCCTCGCGTTCAGAAGAAAATGCGACGGGAGGTTTTTCGTTATTTTCGGCCTCTGGGGGCCCTTCCCAGGCCTCGGGACTGTCAACAAAACGACTCGGGATGAGAAACCGGTCCCGGGGAAGGGGTCGAGACCTCTGGGGGCCGACGTCATGGAAAAATCACGACGTCGGGGGTCTGGGGACACAGACCTCCACCTGAAAGCTCCGGGTTGAGGTTGCGCACAGGCAGCCTCCCCAGGTGGTCCAGGCTGGCCCAGACAGGCCCCCCGAGTATGAGTATCGCTTAACCGATCCCCATCCCCAGCGGCGTGGCCTGGGCCCCACTGGCCGATTTACCCCTCCACATGGGGATATAGGCCGTTCCCTTCGGATCTCGAGGGGTGTATCCCCAACTGGGGTGGTAGTTGGTGGGGGCCTCGAAGGGGATGGGGATGGGGATTGCTTAAACGATGCCGAGAGTAGCCCCAGCTGGCCTCGACAGGCTCCCAGGTAGGCTGCCTGGGACGGCCTCGACGCCCCCGCGCCGCCTCCAGCGGCGCCCCTGGAGCGCTCCGCGCCCCCAAGGCTGGGGGTGTTGAGACCGCCCCGGGAGGTCTGCTGGACTCCTCCTCCTCCTCCTCCTCCTCCTCCTCCACCTGGTGACCTTTGTTTTTTGTTTTCTTTCCCGGGTGTAACGGCTGCTACCCGGGGGGGGGGGGGGGAAGTGGGGGGGGAGGGCGAGAAGGCAACGGAAACGGCGGCCGCGGCGTGCGCCCGCCAGGGTGCGTCCGCGCCACCGGCGCATCAATCGCCTGTGTACACGGCAATGCCCAATGCCGGCGTGCAACACAGCGCCACCTGTGTACACATCACACTGCCTCCGTACACCACAACAGCCGCGTGCACTGCAGCACCACGTCGCCCCCAGAGGGGGGGTCCGCTGACAGCATGTAGGGGGGGGGCCAGGCCACCCATCCCCCACGCACGATCGTTAGCGTTACCCGGAGGGGGAGGGGGGGGAGGGTTGGCCCGGGTAACGAGCGTTACGCCGGAGAGGAAAAGAAACGTTGAACTGGGGGTGCTGTAGGCGCGCAACCTGAAGCCTCCCCACCTCCACCGCATTGGAAATGAAATTCGAATCCTGTTACTCAGATTCTGCATCTGGCGACCCTCGCAGGGCCCTGGGACCGTCAAAAAACAACTCAGGATGACAAGGCAGCCCTGGGGAAGGGGTCTGGACTTCCGTAGGGGCCAGCACTGAAAAAAAACAGACATCGGAACTCTGGTGAGTGGGGATATGATCATGAGCGTACCCTGTGACTGGTGTGGCTGCTGGGCTCTGCGAGCAAACGGTGGGTACAGCTCAGCAGAGACACAACACATGGTACCGTAGCGCGGTGACTAGATCGACTCCTGGACGTCGCCGCGTCTCACATCTAAATGGCTCGAGCCAAAGTGGTCAAGGAAGCGGTGCAATTTCTAGCTGATGGCTGTGAGCAACCCTCTCTGGAAGATCTGTGATCAATAGATACATCTTCCACGGAGCACCTTGAAACTCCGCCAACATTCCGCCTTTTTCTCCTGCCGGCTCCCGCCAGCCACTACAGTAGACACGTACATCACTGTGACGAAAGTTTTCCAATCTGCCTTCGCCAATAGCGCATCCACGCGGAGTGGTGCGGAGTAGAACTACCACAACGACTCCGCGCGTGGGCGCATCCCGCTCGATAAGTCGTAGTGTTTGGAGCGGAGTAGTTTCCAATCCGGCTTGGGAGCAACAGACCTAAGAGCATTCAGCGGATCGGATGACTGCTCCGCCGGGTGACACAAGTCATCACGTCATGCTAGGAATCGTTAGAGGGGTACACGTCGTTCATTTGTAATCGTGCTCATATCTAAGGGGGCTCATTTCTAATTGTTCCTGGCCCCCTAGTGGCCAGGAAGAGGCCTCGGATAGAACAATTAGACGTGAAAGGATCCTGGCACCCCAAAAATCAAAGAACTTTCGAAGCATTAGACATGAACAACGTGTAGGAGATATCACCATGGCGAGTTGAAGAAACCTTTGTCCCGGCTGTGTACGGCACGAGATCGTGCTGAGCAGAGATCCACGGGCACGCTTGTGGTCGGGAGCCGAGCTGCACGAGGTGCCCACGAGAGCCTCTGTGGGCCCCCCTCCTGGGGACCTTGTGGGCTGGAACACCTCCGTGGGCACCCGCGGGCAGGTCGGTGTCATTCGACGTGCCAACGGCACCTTGGCTCCTCCTCCTCCTCCTCCTCCTCCTCATCCTCCTCCGCCTCATTCTCCTCCTCCTCCTCCTCCTCATCATCATCATCATCAGCATCATAATCAGCATCAGCATCATCATCACCACCATCATCATCATCAGCATCATCATTATCATCATCATGATCATCATCATCATCATCAACAGCAGCATCATCATCAGCAGCAGCAGCATCATCATCATCAGCATCAGCGTCATCATCATCATCGTGATCAGCACCATCATCATCATCATCATCATCATCATCATCATCATCATCATCACTCTGGTCCTCACCCTCCTCCTTCTTCTTCTCAGCCCTCCTCCTCGTCCTCCTCCACCTCCTCGTCCACCTCCTCGTCTTCCTCCTCCTCCTCCTCCTCCTCCTCCTCCTCATCCTCCTCCCGCACAAGACGTCAAGCCGACTTCTCGACCCCGGAAGGCAGCGCGAAGCCGCTGCAGGACGCCACAGGTGACTCAGATCTGGAGGCGACCTGGAGCACCTCTCCCGCAGCCGCCGCAATCGCCGGTCCTCGAACGCCGAACCCCCCCTAGGGTCAGGAACTGCTGCTCAGTGTCGCCGCGGCGGCCCCGGCGACACGCTATGCCTTGCAGACAGATGGCGCGTCGCTCCACTCCGCGGGGCGGGAGGCTGGGAAAGGCTCGGGACGCTGACGCTCGGAAATGGGGGCGTGGATCGCGTGTCGCTCCGAAGCGGGGATAGGAGCAAAGAGCTGCAGAAGCATCATTTCTCGAAGGTCCGCGCGGACCGTCGAAAGTTGCTGTTTATGCTGTTTCTTCTGCTTCGAGTGGTGGGCCAGAGCCGGCGGAGCGACACGCTGAGCCAAGGCTCCTGACCCTAACCCCCCCCTGGCTATAAGCGTGTGGCTGCAGGTGGCCAGCACCCCGACCAGCTGCGGCCGCAGGCTCTCCGAGTTGTCTGCCCCGCTCGCGTCGCCCTGGCCAGCAACGTCGTCGTCGTCGTCATCATCGTCGTCGTCGTCGTCGCCGTCGCCGTCGTCGTCGTCGTCGTCTGCCTCGGAGGCGTCATCGGCGTCGTCGACGTCAGCGCTCCTCCGCCCCGAGGGAGGAGATTGAGGAGGACGAGAAGGAGGAGGAGGAGGAGGAGGAGAAGGAGGAGGAGGAGGAGGAGAAGGAGGAGGAGGAGGAGGAGAAGGATGAGGAGAAGAAGTGTGAGTGGGAGGGGTGGGGGAGGAAGGGGAGGAGGCCGAGGAGGATCAAGTGGATAAGAAAGGGAAGATGCTCTCAGAGAGGCTTTCCGAGGAGATAAACAGATCATGAGAAAGAGGCCTCCCACTAGATGAGCAACAACTTGCGTAACTAGGAAACTGTTGGAGATCCACGCGGATTTCGCGGATTTACGCTGGGCACCAGGGGCGGCGCCTGAGACGCCGCGAGGGGGTCCCAGCGCCGATCCAAGAAATCAACGCGGACCTCAAGATATTTGTTTATGTAATTTGTCCTCTTTGAACAGCTTCTCAGCCTCCTCTCCCTCTTCGTCCATCCTCCGCTTTACTCTCGCCGGTGCACCGACCTGGCCGCGAGGTCTCGCGGGCCCTCTCCAGCAGACTGGAAGGAAAATCAACATGTATACCGCATACTCCTCGTCCAGCGGTCATGGGGTTGTCCGTCGCCTCCTCGTCCTCCTCTTCCCTCCTTCCCAATCCCCCTCATATCTAAGAGCAGCACCATGAGTATCACCAGTACTCATCGCAAGTACCCTCACCTCCATCGTCATCATCATCATCATCATCATCATCATCATCATCATCATCATCATCATCAGCATCATCATCATCATAATCATCATCATCATCATCGTCATCATCATCATGATCATCATCATCATCATCATCATCATCATCATCATCATCATCATCATCATCCCCATCATCATAATCATCAACAGCACCATCATCAGCACCATCAACATCATCATCACCATCACCATCACCATCATCATCCTCCTCCTCCTCATCATCATCATCATCATCATCTTCATTACCATCATCCTCACATCATCGCCATCATCATCATCATCACCATCGTAGCTATCATTATCATCGTTATCCTCATCATCATCATCCTCATCATCATCGCCACCACCGTCATCATCACCACCATCATCATCATGGCCACAATGACCATCAGCATCGTCATCATCATTGTCATCATAATCATCATCACGACAGCCAGCACCACACCACAATTATCGTCACCATCACCATGAACATACTACCACCACTACCATCATCATCAGCATCATGCTAATCACGATCATCATCATCATCATAATCATCATCATGATCACCATCATCACCATCATCATCGCCATCGTCATCATCATCACCATGGTCGCAATCACCAGAATCACCATCTTCTCTGTAGTCGCCTTGCCTCGTCCGTCCTCGGGCCCGTACTGCCTGACTGGAGTCGTTCTCCAATCGCTGGTGGCCGTCAACCCCGTACGGCGGGGTGCAGACACAACGGGGTGTGTCGGACTCTCGGACCATTGGGCAATCGTTGCGGCTGTTCCGTGCGTTTGCGGCTCCCCGTCAGAGCCCAACAACATTTTCTTCATATCCTGTACCCCTACTATACGCAACAGGTCACCATCGTTATCCACCTTCAGTGCCGGCGGTGTCGCTGCAACAGCGGAGGTGGGGTTCCGGCTACTGTCTTCGTCTATTCGCGTTTCTTCCTTCCACGGGTGCGCACTCATTGCGCGTCACGGTATTGGGTTGAGAACCGCCTCTACTGGCTGGGCTCCAGGTATCCCTCGTACGGTGGCGGTGTCTGCGCCCAGCGGTCAACGGGCTCGACCTATCCCTCTGGCGCCATTGTACTGGCAGCCTCGTGTGATCTACCTCACGGTTTCCTGGTGCGCAGTCTCGCGCTCTCAAGTCTGCCTTGAGCGCTAGGTGTCAGATTTTTGTGATCATTCGGGGTGTGCTCCATCGTTGTCCATTTCATCAAGCAGCGCTTCATCGGGGAGTGCTTCGTTAAGTGCTTCAACGTGGAGAGCTTCATCGTGGCGTGCCTGAACGCGGCGTGCTTTACCGTGGAGTACTTCGTGATGGGTGCTTCGCTATTGGGTACGTTATCGGGGCGTGCTATGCTCCATGATGGCGTGGTTGACTGAGGCGTGCTTCCTCAGGGAGTGGCGTGCTTCATCGTGGAGTGATACGTCGTGGAGGGTCCCATCGGGGTTTCATCGTGGAAGGCTTCATCGTGGTATTCATCGGGGTGGCGTGTTTCACCCTGGATGTGCATTGCCCTACATGGTCTTCGGCTCTGCTTCGCCGAGTCCGCTTTTGACGCGCGCGCCACCTCGCCCTGTATTCCCCTGCACGCTCCCAGCGCTCTGTTCTGCTTGTGGCCCCACTCATCTCGGTGCACTGGGCCTCGTCGTTTGTAGGCTTAGCAGTGGGCACCAACACCAACACCGAGGGCTGCCTCCACCATGGGAAGGTGATCCTAGATTTTGGTGCTGGTGGCAATCCTTCGGCCACCTTGCAAGCCCAAATATTACCACCATCACCGAGATCGAGATCATCTTCCCTCGGTGGAGGCACATCGCCGATATTGGTGTTTGGTGTCCACCTCTGGGCCTCCGAGTCCTGGCCTGCCACACCAAACCAGCCCCGGCCTCCGCCGCTCGTTTGCAGCTCGCGGTACCCCACCCACACCTTCCGCTTCAAGCTGGCACCGGGCTCCGCTGCTGCTCGGACGCAGCTGCAAGTTCTTCTACGGCATTCCTGCGCCAGCATCCATGGTCTGAGCGGGCTCCTGTTTCTTCCCTAGCCTATCGCGCTCTGTTCTCCTCCAGTCGTGCCTCAGTTCGCTCCTGGTGCACCCCACCGCCAGCTACGACTGGCGTCTGACTGTCTTGGACCACTTGGCGCCCGCGGACTTAAAACAGTTTAATCCTGGAGGCAAACTTCATCGAGAAGGGCTTCCTGGAGGGCGTTATTGTGGCGCGCTTACTCGGAGAGGCGTGCTTCAAGGTGACGCGCTTCCTCGTGTCGTGCTTCACGGAGGCGTGCTTCACGGAGGCGTGCCTCCTAACAGCGAGCTTCACCGAGCGTGTGCATGTTTCATCGTGGCGGGCTTCATCGGAGAGGGTTTCATCGCGGGCTTCCTCGTCGTTCCGCGCTTCGCTGTGAAGTGATACTTAGTGGAGGGCTTCTTTGGGGGTGTTTCACTGCTGCGTAATTAATCGGAGGCATGCTCCACGGAGGAGTGATTCATTGGGGCGTGCCTCAAGGAGGCTTGCTTCCCGGCGGCGTGCTTCGTGGAGGCGTGCTTCCCAGAATGCTTCAACACGGAGTGCTTCACCAAGGAGTGCTTCACCAAGAAGTGCTTCACCAAGGACTGCTTCACCGAGAAGTGCTTCACCACAGAGTGTTCCCCATGGAGGTCTTCGCCAAGAAGTGCCTCGTGTGAGCTGAATCATCGGGGAGTGACTCATCGGAGAGTGGTTTGTGGAGTGCTTCATCGTGGAGCGCTGCATCATAGAGTGCTTCACCGCCGTGGACAGCTTCATCGTGGATTTCTTCACCGGGGAACGCTTCATCGGGGAGTGCTTCATCACGGGGGTGCTCCTCGGGCGTGCTTCATCGTGGCGTGCTTCCTGGAGGCATGCTTCACGGCTGCGTGCCACAGGAAGCGTGCTTAACGGGTGCCTGCCACAGGAGGCGTGCTTCACGGGTGCGTGCCTCGTCAAGTCCCTCCCTTTCTGGGTGATGACGTTCGGTGGGCCGTCCTCTCTGCAGTCGCCACGCTTCGGCCGTTCCCGGGCCCCTACGGCCTGGCTGGAGTCGCTCTTCAGTCACCGGTCGCCGTCAAGCTCGCGCGGCGGGGAGCAGACACAACAGGGCGCACCGCATCATCGGGCAACCGTTGCGGCTGCACCGTGCGGTTGCGGCTCCCCATCAGAGCCAAACAATGTGCCGGTTCTTCATCTCATGCATTCCTACGATATGCAAGCGATCATCATCATCATCATCATCATCATCATCATCATCATCATCATCATCATCATCATCATCATCATCATCATCCTCATCCTCATCCTCATCCTCATCATCATCATCATCATCATCATCAGCAGCAGCAGCATCAGCAGCATCAGCATCAGCATCAGCATCAGCATCAGCATCAGCATCAGCATCAGCATCATCATCATCATCATCATCATCATCATCATCGTCATTATCATCATCATCGTCATCATCATCATCCTCATCATCAGTAGCCTCATCATCATCATCATCATCATCATCATCAACATCAGCAGCAGCATTATCAGCGTCAGCAGCAGCATCATCGTCACCACCAGCATCATCATCATCAGTAGTAGTAGCCTCATCATCAGCATCATCAGCAACAGCATTATAAGACACATCAGCAGCAGCAGCAGCATCATCGTCACCACCACCAACATCATCATCAGCATCATCATCACCGTCATCATCATCAGCATCATCATCATCACCACCATCAGCATCATCATCATCGTCATCATCATCATCAGCATCATCATCATCATCACCATCACCATCACCATCACCATCACCATCATCATCATCATCATCATCATCATCATCATCATCATCATCATCATCATCATTATAATCATCATCAGCGTCATTAGCATCATCATCAGCACCATCATGAGCAGCGTCATAATCCGGGTCATCCTCATGCTCACCCGCCTCCTCCCCTCACCCTATCACTCCCCCAAGTCACGCGTGCGCAGGACGGCCTCATTCACCCCATCCACCTTCGCTTCACACTCAACATCATTATCCTTATCTTCCTCATCACACTCCTCTTCCTCATGCTACTATTTCTCCTGCTCTCCTTTATCCTGCATCCTAGTCCCCTTATTCCTGTACCTCCTCCTACTCCACCTCCTCCTCATGCTGCCCATCCCCTTATTCAATCCTCACCCTCCTCCGCTCCGCCTGATCCTCGTCTTCCTCCTCATCCACACCTCCCTCATCTTCCTCCGCCACCCCCACCCCGTCGGCCAATCGTTAGCTTAATCGGTAGAGAATGGGTGATATTTGAGGTCTGTTTCGTCATCATTCCTCGTATCCCAGTCCTCCATCCTGATTCCTCCCTCTTCCACTCGCCAGCATCCGTCACCCTCCACTCTGCACCAATCCTTCTCCTCTGGACGGGCGTTTACCCCCTGGGACCTCCTCGACGCGTGTGGCCCCGAGGCCAGAAATGTGCAGCAGCTTCGAAGATGGAAGGCAGGCCGGGCAGGCCCCGTAGGTGTTAGCAAAAGCGCCGGGGGGCGTCTTTGTCTCGTTTTCAAGATCGGCGGGCTGCTCTGTTTTGGGAGCAATTCTGCCTCGGTGTGGGGATTGCCGTCTCGCCGCTTTCTGTTCGTTGTGCGATCCTTGTCCTACTTGCTTGATTGCCATGTTTGGTGTCTGTGTCCTGCTTCTGTCAAGCGTTCTCTGTTTTTGGGTTGGCGTTTTTTTCTGTGCTGGGTTGCCGCTGCTCGCTCGTTTCGTGCCTGGCCGGTGCCGTTCTTGGTATGTTTCTGGTTGCAGCGCTTCTTATGCTTTAGTAAACGACCACACGAAAGGTTGAAAACATTATAATAAAAAACAGCGTTTTTAGAACAAAGGGTAGGTCGTTTTCAACATGCGGCTCTCGCCTCAGCGTCGCACACATTCGTCTTAGACGTCTGCTGCATATTCACGGATGGAGGGCGGGTGGTTTTCGAACTACGGCTCTCGCATTAGCGCCGCGCATAATCGCCTGACACCTTCGCAGCAGACTTACGGATGGAAGGGTGGGTGGTTTTCGAACTATGGCTCTCGCATCAGCGCCACGCATAATCGTCTTACACGTCTGCAGCAAGTTCACGGATGGAAGGGCGGGTGGTTTTCGCAATATGGTTCTCGCCTTCGCGCCGCGCATAATCGTTTTAATTTGCTGCATCAGATTCACGGATGGAGGGCGAGCCGTTTTCAAACTTTGGCTTTCGCCTTAGCGCCGCGCACTTTCGCTTTACAAGTTCGAAAGAGCTTCAAGGATTCGTACGGTCGAGATTACAAGTCTGATTTTCTGGCAAGCAAGACTTCGGATTGTCAGGACGCAACAGCCACACGGACTCGCGGTGTTGAAATTCCAGGAATGGTGTTGTGGCAGGTTATTTTAAACTGTCAGGACGCATCAATCACGTTCATCCGCGGAGTTGAAGTCGCAGGCACGGTGGTTTGGCACGATTGCGGATTATTAGGCGACTGTCTTCTAATGGGCCACTTCTCGCAATGAAATCTTGTTCTGCAGTCATGTGCCGAGGAAATTGGAAGGATACTGTAGTTGATTGCAACATCGCTGATGCAGTATGGGGTCGCACAAGTTGTTCTCCTCCTTGTCCTCCCCTCCCCTCCTCCTCCTCCTCCTCCTCCTGTCTGGCCCGCACGCGGACGCTGCTGAGTCTTCGAAGGTGAACCCCAAGACCGCGGAGTTCGGGGGCCCTCGGGAGAGTGCTCTGTCGGGTGTTGGTAGAAGTACCCCTGGTCCAAGGTACCCCGGGGATCCTCGGGGTGGCCCAGACGGCCTCCAGGGCACCCCTCACGAGGCCCAGAGGGCCCCAGGGGCTCCAGTATGGAGCGAAAAGCTGGGGGCACCTTGGGCCAGGGGCACCTCTAGCAACACCCGACTCTGGGCCACACGCCCACGTGCGCTCTGCTCTTGATCCCGCCGCTTCCTTCACGGATCCGCCCGCGGGCCGACGTGGGCCTCGCAGGCCTCTGTCGGCCAAGCGGTCCCACGGGCGAGCCTGCTGCTTTCCTCTTGGCAATCGCCAGCAACGCGGTCTCCTTCCAATTCGAACCGGTGAGTGAGCTCACTGCTACTGGGAAGGCACAGCATCGCTCGCTCGCATCCCTTCCGCCCGTCTTCACAACATGAACTCCTCCTCCTCCTCCTCCTCCTCCTCCCCCTCCTCCTCCTCCTCCTCCTCCTCCTCCTCCTCATCCTCCTCCATGTCCTTCTCCTCCTCGCCATCATCACCATAGCAAAGTCGTCACATTCATCATCGCCGGGTTCTTCAATTAGGCTCATACATGCGCTTGCCAGTAGGCTAGTATAGAGTGTCTTCGTCGTCGTCAGCGTCGTTACCATCCTGCCCCTCGTCACCCTCCGACTCGGTGCCCATTGATTCTCTGCCTCCAAGACCTCGCAGAAAATTCGGTCACGGAGACGGTCCCCTTCCCATCCCAGGCACAAGAGGGCCAACGCATCAGACGCCCAAGCCCACGTGTCCTCTTCCTCCCTTGTAGTTGTCGCTGTTTCGACGCCTTTGCTCTGAGCAGGCGAAGCTGCACTCTCTGCCCTGCGGCCAGCCTCACACAGAAGGAGCGAGGGCAGAGCATCACCCGTACGGGTTCGCGCGCGCACCAGTGCAAGTGATCGGAAAACTCCAACAATCTCGCTCGGCTTTTTGTGGCCGATTCCGGAGACCCTGAACTTAACGCAAAGATGCTTTCATCTCTTAGGGGCGCACGCTTCACTTCCGCCGCCTTCCGCCGCCCTTCCGCCGGCTTCCGCCGGCGCAGGCGGCCTCGTTCTACTACCGCCAACCTTCCGCCGCCCTTCCGCCGCGGAAGAGATGGCAACACCTTCGATCCTCGAAGGCAAGGCGGTTCCTGGAACGCCTCAAGCGCGGACCCGCCCTTCATGCTCGCCTCGCACTTCAAGACCTGGCTCCTCGGCACGCACACGAAGACTCACAAACGGTCGGAGTGTGGCTCCCTCGCGCTCTCGGCCTCTCCGGCTCTTCATCGCCTCGCGCCTTCCCTCTTCCCTAAGGCCCAGCAATCTCCGTGTCCTTCTCCTCTCCTCTGGGGCTCAAGAGACGGGGGCCAGTGCAAACGGGGGCCAGTCAGAGCGCGGGATCTTGCAGGATCCTGCGGAGTCAGGGGCGCACTGACCGGGGCTTTTGGGCGCAGGATCCTGCAGGATCCTGCAGGGCCTGACTGACCCGCGTCTGGATCGACCCTGGTCAGCAGCTCCCCGGCTCCTGCCTCGCTTCTCCCAGTCGGCTAGACGCAAGAGTGACCCTGGGCAAGAGTGACCTTTGGTGCGCAGCTCTGGGGGGTGCGAAGGGGCCCAAACCCGAGGGCGCGGGCCGCTTATACATCGCATCGCGCTCGGCGATCGGGGGGAGCCCCATGAGAGCCCGCACCACAGAGGTCACTCCGGCGAGGGGTCACTCCTTACGTGTCGTCGACCTCTCCTCCGGGGGGGGGGAGGGGGGAAGGGCGCGCACCGGGCCGCCGAGGCGCTCGAGCTGCGCGCCGACGGCCTGCAGCAGCTGGGCGACGATGTCGCGCTGGGGCGCGGGGGCGGCAGGAGGCGACTCCGGGAGAGAGCAGCTGCCCCGACATCTCGGGGGATGGACAGGACCCCCCTTGCGCCTTGCGCAAGACGTGGTTCAGTGAAAACGACATCAGGCCCAAACCTGGCGGGCGCAAGCCTGGAAAATGACGGCCGCGGCGCCCTCTCGGGAACCGAAAACGGGCAATTCACGAATCGACGTGTCGGGGTGGGGGTTCTGTCCACCCCCGAATATCGCTTGGCACTGCCCACTGGCTCTGGTACATTGAGCCAGAGATCCCAACCCTGCGCGCCGTCCTGCCGACAGGAGAGCCCAGAATCGAATCGACCAGTCGGATCAGCAATCGGCATGAATCGGATCGGCGGAAATCGGCAGCCGAGTCGGGAAAAATCTGATCGGCGGGCATCGGCAGGCTAGTATGCCTCCACTGAGAACTCGGAACCCACATCGGAATCCCAAGCCGAATCGAATTGGAATCGGAAGCCATGGAAATCGAATCGAACCGGAAGAATCGAAACGAGCCCTGTGCCGATGAATAAATATCGACAGCTCGATGCCTGGACAGCAACAGATCGATGACTGGGCAGCTGCTACGCCCAGGCCAAGCTACGTCCAGCTACATCCATGGACACATTCCTCGATGCATGCGTGGGCATACCCATACAGATGCCCAGGCATCAGCTGTGGCATACCCAGGCATCAACATGGCCATGCCTAGGCATGTCACCATGACTGCGTAGGTATCTAGGCTGGGGGTTCAGGGTGATGGCTGGGAGCTGTGCGACCGGGCCGACCCAAGATATCGCTCGGCGGGATTCCACGCCAAAATGGGCAACCAGACCTACGCCGGCCTAAACAAACTAAGACGGAGGCTTCCCGCTGAAATAGCAAAACAAATATGGGGCCCGTCAGTGCTCGGACAAGCGTACACGCGCGCGAGCCGCTGCACGTGTGCGCGCGTGCGCGCATGAGCAGTACTGTACTACCAAGAGAAAGCGCTCACGCTTGCCATGGGCGAACAGGACGCCACGAAACCCTAAGCTGTGTGCACTTCTCAAATGTGTGCGTGTCATCCCTGCGCAGGGGCCTTGCTCTGTATTGCTCCGAGCTTAACGGATGATGCCCGAAGCAAATGCCAATGAAATAACAGGGAGAGTCAGCAGGACGAAGAGGGGAATCACAAAATAGGGCGGGGGACTGCCTACATGAGTCACAGCACCATAGCCCCCGCAGTTGCGAGTAAAAGTGAGGGGGCGGGGGTGGTCGTCGGCAGTTTGCGAGGCTCGACAGCACGTGTGAAGAAATCCGAAGCATGCGCCGACTCTTCTACACAACGTTAAACAAGGAGCCCGCGGCAGGCAACGATTTCTTTTCCAAAGTGGGTCGCGGATGAATCGTCAGCAGGTCGGCTGGCAAGTCGTGCGTCGGGTGGCGGTCTGTCGTGGGTGGGTCGCTGGGCAAGTCACGGGTAGGCCGTGGGTGGGTCGCGGGTGCGTCGGGGGGCGGAGCCGACAGCGAGAAGAGCAGAAACCCACCCACTTCAGCCACGCACCCAGGGACGATGTTAGGCGGCGAGCAAGGGAGGGAAGTGAGAAGGAAAAGGCCTTCTCAGACGGCGGCGGGGCTTCTCAGAAGCCCTCGCGCCTTCGGAGAAGTCTTTCGCGTCTTCGGAGAAGGCTCAGAACACTTCTCCGAAGGCTGGGGGACTTCCGAGCCCTCTGAAAAGGCCCGCCCCTTTTCACTTTCCCCGTGGGCTCGCCGCTGAGTAAGACCAGACGCCTCACTTACTTAGGAGCACGACACCACCATCGCCAGAGCGAGGAGCCAGGGGGGGATCCTCGCGGTGGTGTGGTCCACCACCCCCGCTCGAGGCATCCCCTGCCCCTGGCGAGGGGAGGCACCGTGGGCCGTGACCTCCTCGCTGGAGGTAGCACCGCTGGTGGCGGTGTCTCCGTTTTTCTCTTCTAATCATATAGAACGCACAAGGACATACTAGTACTATGTGTCCTCCTCGTAGGCCTGCGTCCGACCCGAACAGTCAGCAGAACTATATTGTAGTACATCGTTTCCCGAGCGGTGCGACCAGAAAGCGCACGCCACAACGCATATACTACAACATTTCTCGGTGCGCGCGTCGCCCTGTCGCCCCAGGGGGGGCGACGCACACAAAGTACTAGTACATGCTGGAGTGCCGCCGATCACAGACGAGCCCCATGGCGCGGCGGACTCTTCGAGCTGGACCGATCCGCGAGGATCGGTCCTGCCTTGAAGAGCCCGCCGCGCCCAGGGCCCGAATCGGAACGAAAGCGCACCATTAGATCCGATGTCTTGATCAAGTCAACGCGGGGTCCCTGGATTTCCCGAGCCCTTTCCCTGGGTTCGGCTTTTTTATCTTGCGTCGTTATTCGACGGTCCCGGGGCTCGGCGAGGACCCCGAGAAACCGAAAACGGAGCAAGACATCCGTCTTAATTTTTGTGCTACGTTGGAGCTCTGGGAGCGCACGTCCTCTCGACCCGACTACGCGGAAAAATAAGACATCGTGAGAAATCGCGACTCGAGCCCCGGACCCCATCTTTCTCTATAGCATTCTTCGGGCCAGATCGATCTGTGAAGGTCCAGGGGCCCAGAACTATGCGAAGACGCCCCACCCGAAAAAACTGCGACGCCAGGCTCTCAAGGGAGCCCTGGGAACGCGCGCCCTCGTGTTTCGCCGTCCTCACTGAAGTCGTGGGAACGCGCGCCCTCGCTTTCCACGCCGTCCAGACGACACCGAGGGGCGGCAGGGTGCCCTCCGCGCGCCCGGGACCGCCCGAGCCCGCGCCGCGCCTGGGCGCACAGCCGCAGCCCGAAGTCGCTCAGCAGCGTCCGCAGCAGCACCAGGGGCCGGACCGGCCTCTCCGTCCGGCTCACGGCGCTGACCTGGGGCACAGTCAAAACTGAAACTCAGCATGAACGATACTCTGGGTTTCTTGATAAGCGTGGGGGGGTATCCCCCCAACAGGGGTCATCCTCGCCTCGTCGTCGCACCGCGACAGGGGTCGGAGCGCCTTCGGCGCGCGGTGGCTGCCCACGACGGGGGTCGATGTGGGGCTGTCGGCGGGGGTGACTCCTCAGACGCTTATTAAGAAACTCGGAATAAGGGTGCAAGCCCCTTGGGCGCCCATGTCGAAGCTTTTTCGAGCGGGGCTGGCCATCGCAAGGGGTTGATAGACAGAGGAGGCAAAGATACAATGGAGCCCTGGGGAAGGTTACCGTCCTTACCGTCGGTTTCAACTGTAGGTGGCGACAGCCCCCCTCAACCATCGGTTCTCCTGAGTCGATGGGGGGCGGGGGGTAATTAGGGCTCGGATTTCGCCAGGTGCTTGACGAATGCGAGCCCTGCCCCCACCGCCAATCGAGCTGCCCGATTCGTTGATCGGATTCGGCCGCCGACTTGGGGGGGGGGGGGGGCGGCCGGGCCACCGAGCGAGGAACAAGACGTACTTCACAAAGAAACAAGCTTCTCGGTCGCCCGGCTGGTGAGGCCCCGGGCTGCGCGGAGACAGCCTCCCCAGGCAGTAGCCCAGGCTGGCCTCAACTGGCCCACCGAGTGGTCCCAGCTGGGCCTAACAGGCTCCCCGAGTAGTCCCAGTAGTCCAGGGCAGAATCCACACCCTGGCACCGCCCCTGGCGGCAACCCCAACCCGGGGCGCGCGCCCCAGGATTGAGGTGTTGAGTCCGCCCCAGTCGATTAGGGGGCCCTGTCAGGGGTTAGGGCCAGCTGGCACTACTCGTGGGGGCAGTTGAAGCCAGCAAGGAAGGGCCACCTGGGAAGGCTGTCTCTGCGCAGCCCGGGGCCTGACCAGCCGGGCCATCGAAAAGCTTGTAAAACAAAACATGTTATCCGGCGGCGCGCCGGGAGGGGAAGGATTGAGAGGGAGCATGCCTTCGCAAAGGCGGCAGGGCTTCTCGGAAGCCCTCTGGCCTTCCGAGAAGCCGTCTGTGCCTTCCGAGAAGGCTTAAGCCGTAGGCATTCTGAGCCTTCTAAGACGCCCGCGCCCCCTCTCTGCTTTCCCCCCTGGGCTCGACGCTGAGTCTTTCTCCGACGAGCAAGATATCACGGATCGCCTCTCGGTGGCCTGCTGGAGCACCAGCATAAACGGGCAGTCGCCGGCCAGAAACACAACGCGCATTCCAGAAACCACGACGTCTAGAAGGCGGACCTTACTGCAGATCCCCGCGCCCACACGCCAGTGCCCCAACCTGGTTGTGACGATGCTGCGCCGCTGTGTGTCCTGCAAGAGGGAGGAGGAACACAGAGGAGGCGGGCGCCGAGAAAGCATCAACTGCAAGGAGGGGGGAGGGGGGCGAGAGGCGGGGATTTATCCATATCCACCGCCTGGGAACCGACGTCCTGGCGCCCCAGCGGGCGGTGGATATGGATATACTCTGGCTCCCGGGGGGCCGAGTATATGCATATCCACCGCCTGTGGAAGTCCGCGAAGATCGATCCCTCAGGCGGTGGTTATGGATAAATCCCCGCCTCGGAGGGGGGAGGGACGGCGGGCGAGCCCGCGCCGACGCGCTAGGCCCGGAGCTTCCAGCGTGCTGTGTACAGGAGGTGAGGGGCGGCTGGCCCTCCTCGGGGCCCCGAGGCTGCGCGCCGAAGCCGCCAAGGCCTGCAACGCCTCATGGGCCTGTTTTCCACCACCACTACCATAAGTCGGAGGGGGGAGGAGGAGGAGGAGGAGGAGGAGGAGGAGGAGGAGGAGGAGGAGGAGGAGGAGGAGGAGGAGGAGGAGGAGGAGGAGGAGGAGGAGGAGGAGGAGGAGCCCCTCCCCCTCCAACTTATAGTGGTTGTGGTGGAAAACAGGCCCATCAACGCCCTCCGCCCCCCTGGCCCGCGGCAGTGGTGGTGGCGGGCACGCGGGCAGGGCGCGGTGGAGCCCTGCGCGTGCGCAGGGAACGGGCTGCTGCAGTGTGGAGGGCGGCGGCGGCGGCGGGGCCGTCCCCTGCGGCGCAGAAGCCGTAACGTCACTTCCCTGGGCCCGCGCGGCGCGCGGCTGGCGACCCCGAATCAACCAGCGCTGGCGCCTCGCTTCTGCTTCCCGCCGCCCTCCGCCGATCTTCCGCCGGCAGACCGCCCTTCCGCCGGCTGTTCCGCCGAGGGCGAGGGTGCGCCGGAGGCGAGGCCTTCGCTGGAGCGCGCCCCATGCGGGCAGCGGTGTGCCGCTCCGCGCGCGCGCGGGGGGAGGACTCCTTCCATGGAGGGGGGCGGCGGCGGCAGGGCCGTGCGCTTCATGTGGCAATGCGTCCAGTTTTTCCTCGGCTGGTGCGGGCGTACAGCTGGACTCGGACAGAAAAGGAGGTCCAAACTTGGTCCGTCGCTCCGTCCAGTGAGGCCGTGCGGGCCACACGTGCGCGCGCGTCGGAATCATTCAACGAGAAATGGCACGCCCGACGACTCTGTCAAATAGCACCATACGGGCCACACGCGCGCGTCGACGGGACTGCCTGTCGCAACCATCGCAAGGCCGTTGGTTTGCTGCACATGTTAGTGTCTGTTGAGGCTTGGAAACCACAAGTGCGTCTCAATGATATGCCAGGGTTTCTGCGCGCGCACTTCCTCAACATCGTCACCAACACCATCGTTGACATCATCACCAACGACAACCACTGCCGTCGTCATTGCCGCCACCATTTCATCACCATTACCATAGTCGTCGTCAGTCTCACCACCGTGGCCACAATCCTCGTCATCCTCATCGTCGTAGTCGTCGCCCGTGTCATCGTCTCTACTACCATCCCACTAATATCAATAGCGCCGTCGTCACCACTACATTATTGCGCCAGTTGATTTTGACAGCAAGTTGCGGAAGTAGAGTGGGATGTTTGCTCGAGCATGGGAGCTGGCGGCTTCAAGTTCTTCAAAAAATACAGATCAATTCTACCACTTAGGCTGCACTCCGTAGATTGCACAGCGTGTATGGCACCGCATCTACTACCACATTTAAGAACAACACGCAGTGTGCACCATGCACAGAGTATGATGACCAGGCTGCCCACGAGGATGCAGGAAACATCATAGGATGGTGAATCTTATCAAACTACCGACGAGAAAACAAAGATGAAGCGGCAGAGAATGACCTGGATGCAAAGGAGAGATATGAAGCGGAGGAGGGAGGATGTGGCTCGAGGGATCGCTTCCAGCCCTGTGAGGGGCGCCGACCACCATCTTGGTGACGGACTCGCAGCCAACCTTTCGGGAGGGGGTGGGGGGCGCTACCCGCGTGTGGCTGCCGATACTGACCAGACCGATCCTGGGACTAGGATCGGTGGACACGCATTCCTGCAGAACCCAATCCCCCAACGACGCATACAACTTAGCAGCGTATGTGTTTCATTTCTTCGACGCCCAGGGGCCATGAGCAGGTCCTAGGACCATTCAACAACTACCTCATAGACCATTCTAATAAGGATGTTGGGGGAAGGTGAAGAGCTTTCGGTTCGATGCGAATTTCGATGAGTGACATGGTTGCCATGTTGATCTGCAGTTCCTTTACACTTGGATGTGCAGTCCAGTGTGAAATTCGAAGATCGCTTGATTTATCAATCTGCATGAGCGTTCGCAGTGCTGTTTACATCTCGGTCTGCATTCAGATGTGCAGCTTGATCACAACTGGATTTGAACTTTGAACTGCCTATATGACTTTCGAGTTACATTTCGTTTGCAAGTGAAATTGCATGTCGACTTGCGTGTCGATGGTCATTGTATGTCTGTTGCGTGTTCCATTATGATTGCAATTGGATGTTCACGCGTGTGCCGTGAAATTGTTAAATTGGATTGCCTTTTCACCGTGCATTTCGATTTGCATGTCGATTGTCATTGGGTTTGCATTTCGATCGTTACCTGAAGTTCAATTCAAGGTGCAATGCATTTCGATGTGCATGTCGACTGCAATCGCATGTACATTCCGATTTGCACTAAGCCAAATGCGCATGCCGATCGCAACCGGCGTTGAATTACGATGACCACTTCGATTTCTCAATGCGATGCGCATCTCGAGGCTCATTTCGAAATCTGACTTCAGCTTTGCAAGTTTAGACAACAAAAAATAGACATAAACTTGTGGCCCTCCGCGCGGCTTTCTTGGATCTGCGGTGGACCCCCCTTCCCGGCGCGCGGAGCGCGCGCCGCTGGGGGGGCCCAGCGCGGATCCAAGAAATCCGCGCGGAGCGCCAGAAGTTTATGTTTATGCAGTTTTTTCTTCTTCGAATGTCGGCTGCAACTGCCTTGGGAAGCAGCGCCCTCCCCTCCCCCCACCAGGCAGACCCTTGGCCCCGCCGGCCCTTCCCTGCCCCCTCCCGGCGTGGGGACGGGGGTGCCCTGTCCTCCGGGGGCTCGCTGGACCCATCCCCGCCCAAGCAAGGGGACACTGGGATAACACGAGAGGCGAAACTGGGATCCGCGGTCTTGCTTCTGGGGCGCGATCCCGCGGATACGCGGCCGTACAGTAGGGGCTCGACCACAAGAAGCCTTCCACAAGTAGCCCAACCCTGAGACCCGAGAACGATCATTGGTTTTTGGTGTGGGAACGTCACGCCTTCCACAGCGAAACCACCGAAACCCAAGAAACCCTGAACACCCTGGAGGCAAGCAGGGTGTTTACTTTCATAGACCTCCGCTGTACGGATACGTTCAGCGCGAAGCATCCGAAACAAAAACGTACCCGCGAGGACGCGGCCCAAAGGGCTCAACTAGCGAGGCCGCGGATACGGACATGTTTTTCGCCCGCGACGGGAGAGTCACCGTACCCTGCCCCATCAAGGGTTCGGTTGGTTCTGACGATGACGAAAATACATGGGAACTTCGACTCGCATTATCCGCAAGACAGCGAAGAAAAAAACCACAGGACAACCGCGGGACAAACACGGGACAACCCACAGAACAACCAAGGGGACGACAACGACCAAGGGACAACCCACGGCGCACGGGACAACCACAAGGCAACCAGGCACAACCACGGGACAATCACGGCACAACCCACGGGACAACCCACAAGACAATCCACACGACAACCACGGGACAAGCCACGGGACAACCCACCCTACGGGACAACCCATGGCACAAACGAAGGGAAAACGCCAGGGACAATCGCGGGACAACCCACGGCCTTGCCTTGGCTGACACATCATCGCCCTCGAGCCACTTCGCCTCGTACGCGCGCGCGCGACACGAACGAAACCGATGTCCCGGCTGGGTCACTTCGCTCACACCTCACACCCCCAACCTCCGACTCGGGATCATAACCGACCCCGTGGGAAAAGGCAAAGAACTCCAGGGGCCGCGCATTTACAAAAACACGGCCGACGTCGGAGGCCTGGGATCCTGGCGTTGGTCGGTACGCCATCCTGCCTGAGCCAAGGCGGCGCACACAGAAGCCAAGCGCAAGCCTTGGCACGGCGCTAGGGCGCCCGTTTGAAATATAGCGAGCTGCAAAATCGAGAGACTTAGGGAGAGGGAGGAGGAGGGGGAGGAGGAGGAGGAGGAGGAGGAGGAGGAGGAGGAGGAGGAGGAGGACGAGGAGCAGGAGGAGGCTCTGCGCACCCGACGTGAGCTACGCTCGCGGCGATCGGAGACCTGGGTTAGTTACTGCTTTGGTTGACTGCAGGGGAAACGTTCGGGCGGGACCAGCTCAGGGGGAGAAGCATCGACCTGGAATCGGCGATAAGTAGCCGATAGATCGGCGTTGGGCCGCCGATAGCAACTCCGCACGTTCCTAGGTTGGGCTGTCGGTCGGCCCCTATCAGCGATCAAGGGGCGATTGAGGATCGCTACGTTCCCTCCTGAGCCTATCACTTCATAATGCGGGCCCACGACTCATTAGATTCCTAAAATGAAACAAACCTCTCGGGCGAAGAATTGTGGATATTCGAGCGACCCTAGATCGCCAGAGCCGCGCCTCTCGACAGCACGCGAGTCATAACGGGCAGCCAGAACTGGAACGACGGCTGGGAAACACCGCAGCGAGGGGAGAAGCATGACAGATCTTGCGCCGTCCGGAGCGCTGGCGCCCCCCTCCCCCGCCCCCCAGAGAGAGGACGGGGGCCGTCCTCCCTGTCTACTTCTGGGGCTGACGTTGTAACGCTGCTTTTAAGCCCCTGCTGGGGCCGACTGCAAGTGGGTGGCCGGCACCCTCCCTAGAAGAAGACAAGACGCCACAAACACAAACTTTGGCGCTCCGCGCGGATCTCTCGGATCTGCGCTCGACTCCCCTCCCTGGCGCCGGAGGCGTCGCCTGGGGAACCCAGCGCGGATCCAAGAGATCCACGCGGAGCGCCAAAAGTTATGTTTATGGTGCTGGATCTTCTTATGTGTGTGCTTATGTTTACGTCTAAGTTCAAGTTTATGGTTTGTTTTTCTCATGTTCATGTGTATGGGTTCTTCTTTTGCTGATGTTTGTGTGTATGACGTGCTTTTTCTTCGACTCCCGCCTTGGGGTGCTTGGCGATCTGCTGCACAAACTTGTCCGAGGCAACCTCCCCGCTCCGCCGGCCGCGCGCGGGAGCAGGGCTCGGCACGGGCGGCGCCGGGGGCAGTGGAGCCTCATCCTCCTCGCCCTCGACCTCACTGAGTATCCCCCTTCCTCCTCCTCCTCCTCCTCCACTTCCTCCTCCTCCTCCACTTCCTCCTCCTTCTCCTCCTCCTCCTCCTCCTCCTCCTCCTCCGCCTCGTCGTCGACGTCATCATTCCCCCTCCTCCTCCTCCTCCTCCTCCTCCTCCTCCTCCTCCCCCTCCTCCTCCTCCTCCTCCTCCTCCTCCTCCTCCTCCTCCTCCTCCTCCTCCTCCTTCTTCCCTTCCTCATCGTTCGGTATCCTCATCCTCCTCGGCCTTCTCATTAGCCGCAACCGCAGCCTCATCCTCCTCGTCTGGCCCGCGCCCATCCCGGCGCGTCCAGCATCGATTGGGCGGCCATCAAATCGAGAGCGGGGTGCGACATCCTCCTCATAGTATTTGATGTGCCGCGGGGGCTGTGAGTCCTCAAGCCCTCGTGAGCCAGAGCGCGAGATCGCCATTGGCATCCGTCCTCCCAGACATTCTCCTACTTGGCGGGCTCCCGAACACCTGGCCACCTCTTTCCTTCCGCTGGCTTCCGCCGGCCTCCCGCCGACGGAGCCGGCCCCGTTTTACTTCCGCAGCTTCCGCCGGCCTTCTGCCTCCTTCCGCCGAGGAAGAGATGCCCATTCCTTCGACCCTCGAAGGCGAGGCCCTCTCTGGAACGCCCCATTGGTCGTCGCCCCCCTCCTTCTCGAAACTGAGCAGGACCTGGAGGACGTGGAAGGAGAAGCCGCTCGGCCGCGCAGAGAGCCGCAGAGCGACCTCGCACTCTTGCGCGGCAACCTGTGGCCTGAGACACCGCGAAACCGCAGCGCCCGACTCCGTCGCCCCGCCCGCAGTCAGGAAGAGGCGCCGCCAAGCCCTTGGACGTCGCGAGAACGACGACGGGCGATCCTTGCGTGTGCCTCCCTGCGGCCAGGAGCTTCTGCTCCGCGTGTCGCGGCGGCGGCCCCGGCGACGCGCGATGGCCCCTGCGAGCTGTTGGCGTGTCGCTCCCTGCTCCGCGGCCCGAAAGGGCTGAGTAGAGCTCGGAGCGTCGACCCTGCGGGGCCAGGGCGCGGTTGGCGCGTCGCACGCAGGCGCCGTGGGCACAGAGCAGGCGGAGCGACCCCGACCCGCTGAGCAGACGCTCCCGGCAGTATCTCAGCGTCCAGGGCCCAGGGGTCCCTTTACCCGCCCGGAGGCCGTCCAAGAAACGACTCGCGACGAAGCATCGGTCCAGGGGAGGAGGCTGAAGCTCCAGGGCACGCGTCACCATAGAAGGCAAACGCCGAAGGTCTGCCCCGCCTCGCCCTCTCATCATGCAGCCCTCCAGACGCCCCGAACAACTGCTGATGAGCAGACAGATGACGAGGAGTATGGCGAATGGTTCCCCGCTGTTGCTCGCCGCGAGTGCGAGATGAACGCTCCTGGCCTGGGCCTGACATACGCACCCAACAGATAGCCGCATGATGCCCCCCCCCGCACTCCCCACTGCGGCACCCCAAGTCTGACATCGCTGGCACCTGCGAGCGAGGTCCTCTCCATGAGCGTCGGGAAAACCTCGCGTGGGCAATGACAGGGAAGACGGTTGGAGAAGAAAGGAGAGAGGGGAAGAAGGACAGGGCGGGTCAGGAGGAGGAGGAGGAAGATGAGGAGGAAGAGGAGGCAGAAGATCACTGCGACGACTAGAAGGGAGCAGGAATGATGAGGATGAGGAGGACACAGGACGTGGGAAGAGGGCAACAAGGGGGAGACGCCAGATGGGGCCGCGTCGGCCCGAGCGGCGACAACAAGAGCAGAGACGGCGGCCTCGAGACGAAAGGCACCGATACCGACACTCTGCAGACCTCTCCTGGGCTGCTGCTCGACCCAGGAATCCCGCGGAGAGTTCCGCTGTGGCGGCGTGGTCTCTCAAGATCGAGCAGCGGCATCGGCACATGCCACTCCCCGTATGACGGGTGCGAGCCTGAGAGACCAACTGCATTCCCGTGGGATAGAAGATAGAATCCTCCGAGACACCCCTCCATTCCCCCCCCCCCCTCCCCTGAATCTCTGCCTCCACCTCCTCCTCCCCATCCTCCTCACGCTCCTCCTCCTCATGCGGCTCATCCCCCTGCTCGTCCTACTTTTCCTCCTACCTCGTCGTGGTCAGCGTCCTCATCTTCAGGGTCAGCGGCACCGGCCGTAAGGCCTTCGCAATAGAATCCTCCGAGACGGGGTCCGAGTAGATGGGGCCAGAGGATTGCACCGCATCACCGATACGTCGCCGATGCATCGGCGACGTGGGCGATGCATCGGCGCCGTCGGCGTGACGAAAAGCGGGCTCCAGATCGAGCCACGTGGTCGACGCATCGGCGATGCGGCGCGATCCTTCGACCCCATCTACTCCGATCCCATCTGGGAGGCCTGGATGGGAGCAGCAGCTCAGCCCGCGGAGCCTTGGCAAGCCCCATGCTGATGTCGAGGCCCGACAGAGCCGACGCCATGTGGGTGATGGCGCCCTGGCAAAGTCGTACGGCTCCTGCCCCACCCGTTGTCGATTCTGCTCCACTTCCTTCGCCTCATCCGCCCCCTCTTCCTTCGCCTCTACCTCCCCCTCATCTTGGTCCTCCTCCTCCTCCTCCTCCTCCTCCTCCTCCTCCTCCTCCTTCTGCTTCTCCTCCTCCTCCTCCTCCTCTCCTCCTCCTCCTCCTCCTCCTCCTCTCCTCCTCCTCCTCCTCCTCTCCTCTCCTCCTCCTCCTCCTCATCCTCCTCCTCCTCTCCTCCTCCTCTCCTCCTCCTCCCTCTCCTCTCTCCTCTCCTCCTCCTCCTCCTCCTCCTCCTCCTCCTCCTCCTCCTCCTCCCCTCCTTCTGTTTCTCCTCCTCCTCCTCCTCCTTCTGCTTCTCATCCTCCTTCTCCTCCTCCTCCTCCTCCTCCTCCTCCTCCTCCTCCTCCCCCTTCTCGTACTTCGCCTATGAATCCTCACGTTATTCTCCCCAGCGCCCTTCACTCCGCGCCTTCCACCTCCTCCTCTTCCTACGCACGGCTCACCGTCCGTGCTCACTGCTCCAGCAGCGCCGCCCCTGACAACTTGACTTGGGCGGCACGCACACCAGCATCGATCCCTCCCTGGACCTCTCGTGCAGCACGTTCCCGCCAGGAACTGCAGCCGCGACGAGGGCCTCCCCGCAGGCTCTCCCCCCCCCCTCGTGCCTCTCTGCGCGCGCCCTTGCGATGGAGAGCGACGACGTCGACCAGGACGAGGGTGGGCAACGAGCGGCGGCGGCAGCAGCAACAGCTGCAGCGCTGCCGCGGCGCCCCCCCCCGCCCCGAGGCAGCCCCTCCCAGAAACACGGCGCGGTCCGCGCCCACCGGGCTGGCCAGCGCCCGCTGCGCCGCGGCGCAGATGCCCGCGAACGCCTCCTCTCGGGCGCGGCCTAACCGACCCCTGGCAAACCATCTCCTTCCGTGGCGTCAGCCTCGCCTCCCGAGCTCGGCCAGGCCGACTATAGGGGTCGCTTGGGCCGCCCCCGATCCTCCAGCGACGCGCCGCGGCGCTGGGCCCCCGACTCGCCCACGGCCACGGCGGCCTCCGTCAGCGCCCGCAGCGCCACCGCGACCGCGTCCTCGCTGCCCTCGGCCGGCGCCCGCAGTGCCGCGAGCACCTCGGGCGGGCAGCCCGCCCAGTCCGCGAGGCCCTGCGGCACCTCCCACGGGGCGCCGGCGGCGGCGAGCGCTCCGCCGCCCTGGGGGGGGGCCTTCGGGGCGTCCGGCTGGCGCTCGGGCAGCTTCAGCAGCTTCCGCACCTGTCCCCCCAGACCCCCTCGAAGGATGACAACATTACGACGGGAGGTGTTTGGCCATTTTCGGCCTCCTGGGGGTCCTTGTAAGGCCCCGGGACCGTCACAACACGACTCAGGATGAAAAACCAGCCCCCGGGAATGGGTCGAAACCTCTGGGGGTCGACGTCCTGAAAAGATCATGACGTCGGCGATCTGGGCCTCGGATCCTGGTGTTGCCATTTCTTCACAGCGGGCTTGGTCTGGGGCTCCGGCCGCGTTTTTGTTGCGATGTTGCCTTTTTAGTGGCAACGTCGGACCGCAGGGGAGAAGAGTGGACGAGTCGAAGGCTAGTCCACGCAAGGATGGGCCCTGGGCAAGGGCGACCTGTGGTGCGCGGCTTGAGGGGATGCGCGAGGGGGGCCAAGCCCAAGCGCGCAAGCCGCTGGCATCGCATGCGTAGCATCCAGCGATCGGGGCATCCCAGCGGGCCCGTGCCAGGCCTCACCCCGGCCAAGGGCCATCCGTTTCGGAGAAGCGACGGTCGGCGAAGCAGCCGCACGCAGCCGCCTTACCGGGCGCCGCTGGGCGCCCGCAGCTGCCATGTCTCGAGTAACTAACGTGCCCAGCGGTGGGGCCGAGAAACCAGCTGCGCACAGCCTGCAAGTGTCGTACCCTTCCAGATTTCCCCCCTCCTCCCCCCCCCCCGCCCGGACACCCGACGATGTGATTCAAGGCACGGCCCCAGAAGTCCCGATCCACTCACCAGGAGTAGTTCTTCGCCCTGGACCCCTTCTTGATGGTCCTGGGGGCCCGAAGGCGGTGCCCGGCGGTGCCCGAGGTCCGAAATCATGGAAAACGCCGGGACTGAAAACACACGCTTCGTCGGAGATCTGGGGTCGTACCCCGCTTTGCAATTCCTAACCGCTTCGGCGATGGGCCCCAGATTGCCTGACCGCATGCTCCTGGGCGGGGTGGGCTATCACGCCCCCATCGGCAAGGAATAGGCGATTGAGGATCGACGAGACGGGCGCATCGAACCCCAATCGCCCATTCCCCGCTCAAACCTCGTCGATGCGCCGGGCAGCATTACGGGGGGTAGGCTCCACGGGCGCATGGCGATCCCTGAGCCTATCCCCCGAATGTGACTCCTGGATTTCGCCCTCCACGACCTGCGCCAGGGACTTGGCCGGCACGTCCTGCAGCGCCGCCACCCACGCCTCCTTGATCGTCTCGTGGTCGGCCTCGGCGGCGGCGCCGCGAAGGTGCATCTTGCACACGAGGGCGAGGAGGCGGGCGGACTCGTGCCGCACCTGTGTACACCCCCAGCAAGTGTTAGCCAGCGTGGGCCGCGAAACAATGTGTTCTGGCATACTGCGGTGCAATATCCAACGTATGTGGTGCAACCTATGTGGTGCAACTGCGTTTTACAAGCGAAGTCACAAACTCCGTGCTCTTGCAAACATCCCACCCACCAACCCGCGACTTGGTTTGCAAAACCCATGCGGCAGCGATTCCGATGAGTGCTTGGCGTTGGCTGGTGCATCTCTGCCCGCGCATGCTCGCGCGCACAACGGCCAGCTAGTTTGGCGCGACCAGCGCGGCCGCGGTAGCGCTAACCGCTGGGCACTCCCCAAAGGGCACTTCAATGCGAGTCGGTGACTTGGGCGGGCGCGATGTCATGGTGACGCCGACAATGGTACACACGATTCTGAGGGTAGCTATGATGGTGACGATGGTGGCGATGACCACGGCAAAGCCAATGAGGGCGCCGATGTTGATCAGGCCGATGACGATAACGGTGTCCTCGCGTCCGTGATGATGATTGTGGACGGAGTTCAACATGCGCGCGCGGCCGACGCACGCGAATGGCCCGCATGGCATTATTTCACACAGACCGTGCCCCCACAGCACGCGCACGAGGGCGTTCGAAATGTTTCGACATGCGGCGCGAGAGGCCCGTTTGGTTGAATGTCCTGAACATGTTCAAAACCGATGGTTTCTTGAGAATTCGCAAGAGCGCGCGCAGACCTTTTCCCAACGGATGTTGCATAACTTTGTAATTTCATTTTGTTTTCGGGAAACTGGATTTTGAAATCCGTGCGGAACCTAAGGTTGTTGATAGATTTCGGCATGCGCGCGCGACGGCGCGCACGTCTGCACTTCGTCCTGTCGTTCGCAAGAGATTCTTGCGACAGCAGGCACGCAAGGGCGTTCCAACGAATTCGACACGCGCGCGCGAGTGGCACGTTTGGCAGCATTTGATGACCATGTTGACAAAAGCCATAGTTTGCTTTAGAATTCGAAAGGGCGCGAGAGCATGTTTTTTTGAAAATTCCATTGCCGGAGCCATTGTTTAAAACATGTTTCGGGACACTCGGGTTTGAAATCCTGACGGCATCTAAAATTCGCTTGAAGGATCTCGGCATGCGCGCGCAACTTTGCGCGCGTGTGCACTTCGTCCCATCGGTTGCAAGAGATTCATGAAAGCAGATGCTTCTGCTGATGATTTTGTTGGAAATGGTAAGAAGGGGGGTCGATAAGGGACTGCCTGGGATGGTGCGACTTCATAATTCGGACGGGCGCGTGTGCAAAATCAGATACGACAAACAAAACGAAACAAATACCGTTAAACTCGGGGGGGAGATCCTAATACATTCTTAAGGGGAAGATTACATCTGGTACAACGTATGTGTTGAGATATATGTGGTGCAGATGTCTCGTACCTTTGCAAAGCAACGCAATGCCAAGCAACGCCAAGCAACGCCAATGCGAAGCACTGCCGGCCTAGAGGACGGACGGCGATAAGGCGGCGACGGGGCGGCGACGGCGACCACATAGCACCACATAGCCGCCAGACCGACACCCAGGCCAAGACAACGAGCGGCGACGATGAGGCGATGGGGCGGCGACGGCGACTACATAGCCGCCATCATACCGACCCCACGCCCAACTGCGCATTCAAGAAATAAGAACCCCTTATCAGCTATCAGTGCACGCTCTGTTTGGGGAACGTTACCACTACTCGCCAGACCTCTCCCAAAGAGCGTTACAACCAAAATTCTGAGGCGAATCCAGCCGTGGCGACGAGGGCTGGAAGAGACGACAACGAGCCCAAGGCAGCAATATCGGTACCCGCCAGTCGGAAGAAATAGGTAAAAACATGAAGTAGGAAGACGGATCAAGCAGATTTGGTCCAGGCCCTCCCAGAGAATAAACACAACGAAAGCAAATCGATAATTGAAATAGGGAGGCGCTTGAAGTAGATCGGGATCTGTGAATCCAGAAATACATCAGGTTCGTGTCGTGCCGACTTCGGCTGACACCGCGGGGATCGGTCAACATTGAACGATCGGCCGTTTCCGAAACGTCCAAATCGTTCCACCTCGAACGATTCTGGGTCGCCCGCAGCCTTCAAAGTTGAACGCCGCTGGCGGGGTCGCCGCTGGTCGACGCGACACCAACCTGCCGCACCTGCTCCCGACGACGGGCGTGTACCCTTTCCTCCTCCGAGCACCGTCGGGTCGCTGTGCCCCAGCCCGGCCTGGAGCCGGAGCCACTCGCCCGGGTGCGTGGAGCCAGGCTGCATGAGGGAGGCCTGCGGGTACTCCTCGGCGGCGCGCACCAAGGGGGTGGCGCGGGGGGGGCGGGCGGCCCTCGAAGGGGGCGGGGTGCTTCTCTTAGGAGGCGAGGGCCTTCTTGGAAGGCTTCTTAGAATGAAGGGGCCCTGGGACACACAAATAGATAGACGCCAATCCCAGGATTCCCCACATGTTCAATAGTTTCTACGTTTTGTCTTCCCCCCCCCGTCCCATATTTTCCCCTCTTGAGTTGCGTCTTTGTGTTTTTCCCCTCCTGATAGAAGGCGGGATCGGGCCTTCTCAGCTTCCACGAAGGCCCCCACCTTCCAAAAAGCACCCCGCCTTCTCTTCGAAGGCCCCTCCCCTCGCGCCACCCACTTCTCCGCGCCGCCGCACTCCTTCACCAGGTCGCGCAGCGCGGCGAGGCGGCAGAGCCACGCGACGGTGGCGCCCTTGCCAGACGGCGCCCGCGGCGGCGACGCCGCCTCGTCCTCGTGCTTGCCAGGGGCGAGGTGCCTCACGAGGGGGAGCGCTGGGAGGGGTTCAGGAGCCGGAAGCGCTGGCCCGGAGTCGGCGACACAGCGCAGACATGTCGGCGGTAGGCCCCCGATGGCGAATCCACACGGTCCTGGGCCCATAGGACTCCTTACGATTCCCATTGGATTGCCTAGGATTCCCTAGGATTCCCTAGGATTCCCAGGGATTCCATAGAATCCCATAGGATTCCCATGGGATCCCCTAGGATTCCCTTAGGATCCCCTAGGATTCCCATAGGATTCCCAAGGACTCCCATAGGATTCCCAGGTATCACCTAAGATTCCCAAAGATTCCCGTGGTGAGCGATCGAGCCCCTAGACAGGCCGTATCGGCGATCAAAGTGCGACTGGCGGTCATTGCGTGCCCCCCTGAGCCCATCCCCCCCGACGCTGCCCCTGAGCCTCAGGATGAGGACCGCCACCGCCCCCGGGCTCAGCAACTCGCCCACCGGCGGCCGCAGCAGCCGGAAGAGGGCCTGCGTGGTCTGGGTCCTCACCTCAGCGGGGGCGGCCCGGATCTCCGCGGTGACCTTTTCACAGCGTGGACCACGGAGGTTTTCAGACCCGCATCCCCCAGGACTGGCTTTGCACAGGACGAGAACGAAGTCCTGAGGAAATTGGCTCAGGATACGTCCCTCGATTTCTGGAGCATCTGGCGGCCCTCGTCTTTTGAGCCTGTGCTGGACAGCACGAGATCCTGGACTCGGCGAATTCCGGCGATCTGGAGCGCGAAAGGTGGGCGGCTGCGCTCAAGAAGAGGTCAATGGTCGAAGACCTAAAATGAAAAATCGTGCCGCGTCGCCGCTGCGTCGGCGGTGCGTCGATGATGTCGGGATCACGGGTCGTGCCGCATCGCCGGGGCGTCGGCGAAGTCTGGATGACGGATCACGATCGCGCCGCATCGCCGGAACGTCGACGGTGCGTCGGCGAAGCCTGTATGGCGGGTCGTGCCGTATCGCCGATGCGTCCAGGATGCGGCGCGGCCTGAGAGCGCCCCGATTGCTCCGGCACCGTTCCCGAGACTGGAGGAGCAGCACACCCCTCGAGGACCGCGACAGCAGTAGATCAGCACTCGAAGCATGAGGTCCTCATCGCCCCTCTCGAAACAGAACAAGGCAGCGGGATGGCGGTAACGAGCTCACTAAAGGCAAGCAAATCTGAAGGCAATTGTTCTGCTCACGGAAGGCAACTTTGTTGAAGGCATCTGTACACTGAGGGCGAATACAAATTCACTCAAGGCAAACGAGGCAAGTATTGCCCCCGATGCGTACAAGATCCTCGAGCACTGGGGCGGAACCCTGGGACAGGTACGCAGAAGCCGCCACGCCACGCTGCAAGCTCTCATGGCTGTCGAATCGCTCGCATTACCGAATCGATGTATGCGAGGCGGGGATATATGCATAGCCACCGCCTGTGGAACCGACCCCCTAGGAACGCAGCGGGCGCTGAGTATGGATATTATAAATGTTTGGCCCCAGGGGAGCCGAACGAATCCAGATCCACCGACAGCCGAAGTCCCCGAAGATCGACCCCCTGGGCGGTGGTGATGGATTAATCCCAGCCCGGGAATGTGGAAACGAACCCCTCCTCGGGTATTGCCGAAGGTGTCCCTGACGCAAGCTCAGGATTCCCGCGGAGGCCCAGATGGCCTCCAGAGCACCCCTCACGAGACTGAGAGAGTCCCAGGGTATCCACAATGGTGCGGAAGGCTGGGCACAACTTGGGCCAGGACCACTTTTGACAAGCACCCATGTGGGGAGGTGGCGAGATCGACTCAGGCCGCGCGAAGACACTGGTACGCATCCACGAACCGATCAGGTCGCTGTGGACAGAGGAGGAGGAGGAGGAGGAGGAGGAGGAGGAGGAGGAGGAGGAGGAGGAGGAGGAGGAGGAGGAGGAGGAGGAGGAGGAGGAGGAGGAGGAGGAGGAGGAGGAGGGGAGGAGGAGGAGGAGGAGGAGGAGGAGGAGGAGGGAGGAGGAGGAGGAGGAGGAGGAGGAGGGGGAGGAGGAGGAGGAGGAGGAGAGGAGGGGAGGAGGGGGAGGGAGGGAGGAGGGGGGAGGAGGGGGAGGGGGGGAGGAGGGGGAGGAGGGGGAGGAGGGAGGGGGAGGGGGAGGGGGAGGGGGAGGGGGAGGGAGGAGGAGGAGGAGGAGGAGGAGGGGGGGAGGAGGAGGAGGAGGAGGAGGGGAGGAGGAGGAGGAGGAGGAGGAGGAGAGGAGGAGGAGGAGGGGGGAGGAGGGGAGGAGGAGGGGGAGGAGGGGGAGGAGGGGGAGGAGGAGGGGGAGGAGGGGGAGGAGGGGGGGAGGGGGGGAGGGGGAGGGGGGGGAGGGGGAGGAGGAGGGGAGGAGGAGGAGGAGGAGGAGGAGGAGGAGGAGGAGGAGGAGGAGGAGGAGGAGGAGGGAGGAGGAGGAGGAGGAGGAGGAGGAGGAGGCGGAGGAGGAGGAGGAGGAGGAGGAGGAGGAGGAGGAGGAGGAGGGGGAGGAGGGGAGGGGGAGGAGGGGGAGGGGGGAGGGGGAGGAGGAGGGAGGAGGAGGAGGAGGAGGAGGAGGAGGAGGAGGAGGAGGAGGAGGAGGAGGAGGAGGAGGAGGAGGAGGAGGAGACTCTTGCCCCATCCAGTAGCGAAGGCGCGCTCGCTGGGGCACCGACCGCCTCCTTCAGGTCCCCCATGCGGGTGCAGAGCAGGCGGAGCAGCGGCGCCAGGTGGCTCACCTGGGGGGCGCGGCGGGGCTCGCCGCGGCGCCTCTCTTCGCGCGAGTGGGGGGGGGGGGCATGGCGGCCATGCGCGGGTGGCTCGCGCGGGCCGCTGGCGCGCGGAGCAGCGCGGTGGACGGATGGGGCACGGAGGAGCAAATGCTGGCACTTCGCGCCCCCCATTGGAAGCGCAGTTCCGAACCGGCCAGAAGGTACAAACATCTTCTGGCATGTCGTTACCCGGGCGGCAGTGATGGCCAGAAAGGGCCAACCACCCCCGAGCATGTACAGTGGGGGTCGATGCACAAGAAACCCACCGCAAGAAACCCAACCCTGAAATCCGCCGAAGTTTCTTGGTCCAGGGTTGGGCTTCTTGCACTTCGGTTGCAAACGCAGAAACCCAGGGCACCCTGGCCCGAGCGGCTTCTTGACTGACGGCGTCAAACAATCTGACATCAAGAAACCCAAGGCGATCGAAAATGCGACCTGCGGGCCTTGCATAAACAGAAAGACCACGACGTCTCCTCGGGGGAAAAAGAAATGTTGCGCCCGAATGGCGGGTGAAGAAACCCAAGGTACCCCGAATGCCGAAACTGACCGACGCCAGAGAAACCCAGGGTGCCCTGGCAGTTGCAGTTTCTTCGAGATTGCGGCGGCCTTCCGCGCCGAACGCCAGCCAAAGAAACCCAGGAAACCCTGACGAAACGTAGGGTGTGTCTTGTCATGGTCCCCCACTGTACAATAATATGTGCGAGAGCAAGTCGTATACGTATGTACACGGACAGCATTGTCGCGCATGCACCATTTTTCTGCACGACGCGACGAGCGCGAACGACCTTCCTGGAACCAGATTGAAACGTTTTGGCGCCTGTTTGCCCTCTGGCTGGTGGCCCCGAAAATCTATTTGGAACAAGTCCCCTGCTTCTCCGCTTCATCGTCTTGCCCTCACCCACTGCTTCCGACCCCATTTGAATTCATGTGGTTTTCGTGGGCCGTCCTTGGCCGAGTTTGGCGATGGCTGGGGCCCCCCTCGGGAAGTTTGTGGCCCCTCACTCCCTTTGATATCCACCTTGCCGTGTTCATACTCCACCACGCCCCCCGCATTCCTTTCGCGATCTTCAAATATTGCATCTTCTTCCGCAGCGACCACATGGCAAAAACGTGGGGGCGGGGGCGTCTGCCCCTCAGGGGCGAGCAACCGACAATTGATCGATTAGGCACGCGAATAGGAAGGGCACAACCAAGAAGTGTGATACGGAAAACAACGATAACTTTAGCGAGAGAGAGAGAGAGAGAAAGGGAGAGGGACAGAAACAGGGGGGAGAGAGAGAGAGAGAGAGAGAGATCGAAAGAGAGAGGGGGGAATCCATGTATATATATATATATATATATATGTCGGCGGTGCGCCGTGGCACGACCCCCCCCCCCAGCACTACCGGGAGGTTTCGTGCACTACCGGGGGGTTTCGTGCAGCCCGCACCGGGTGCCGCCAGCGGCTTAGAACACCCCCTTGCCGCTTTACCGGGCGGTTCGTGCAGGCCGCATTGGGTCCTCCCCTGTCGCTTTACGGGGGGGGTTCGTGCAGGCCGCGCTGCGTCTACCTGGGCTCCCCCCCCCCCTGTGGGAGTGGGGGGGTGGGAGTGGGGTGTGTGTTGGGTGCGAGGAGGAGGAGGAGGAGGAGGAGGAGGAGGAGCAGGAGGAGGAGGAGGAGGAGGAGGAGGAGGAGGAGGAGGAGGAGGAGGAGGTGGACGAGCAGGGGGAGGAACTGGCATTCCTGTTGTTCGCACTGCTGGGCTCGTGGCCACAATACGAGAGGCTGCGGCGCAACTCCCAAGAGCCGCTGTGGGGGGTCGACGGCACGGCCGCGTAGAGAAGAGCAGTGCCGCCGTGTTCCGGCACGGCCCTGGGATGCAATGCCGCCGCCGTGTTCCGGCCCGTCCTGATAAGATTCGCGCGTCGGGGCTGGGATTCGCGAGTGCCGGGAGCGCGCCGCTTACGAAGGGGTTGCGTCCTTACCGGGGGGGTTCGTGCAGCCTACCAGAGGAGGTCGTGTTTACCCGGGGGGGTTCGTGCAGGCTCGCACCGGGAATGGCGCCAGCTCGAACCCCCCCAGGAGAGATTACCGGGGGGGGGGGTTCGCTCCGCACCGGGCACCGCCGACATATATATATATATATATATATATATATATATATATATACTCAAGAATTGAAGGTTCGCTTCGTTTCGCCTCAAATCTAATCCTGCGTCCACGCACTGCGGGGGACCGCCGACAGTCTCATCGGTGCAAAACAGTCATTAGTAGGAGGGGAGTGCGGATCATTGGCTGGGTGGAGGCCACATGCATGTTCATGCCATGGGAGGCAGGGCCTGGTTGCCGCCGAGGCGAAAACGAGGACCTCGATACTGGGGTGAGCCATTACCCCACCTGGGGTAGCGGCTATGGCGTCGATGGGGGTGCACGTCATGACCGCGAGTTAGGTGAAAATCTTGGCGACGCAAGGCCTCGGCAGTGGCCGCGAAGACGATGAGGAGGAACACGCCGATGACACGACCGCGAGGGGGTGAAGGTCACCATTCGGGAGCGGATCCAATCATGACCTACATGCAGGTTCAAAACTAACCGCGGTATGGGCGTGACATCATGACCGTGAAGGTATTGCCGGCGATGCAAAAACAATGGGGGTCATAGATGTGTTCATGAGGGGGGCGAGTGCGTTAACCGTAAAATGGTCCTTGGTAAGGACAGCGGGGTGTCCAGGGTATACATCGTCAGGAGGGCGAACCCCATGACCGCAAGGGGGGCTGAGCGAGGTCACGTCGGCCTAGCTGTACACTGGCAGCCGAAGAACTGGTTGGCCAAGCAAACTGAGTGCGGTTCACACAAATGCGAAAAAAATGAGCACGCCTTCGACCAACAGCATCGAAGCAAACAACATTGGCATCCATGAATTGTGCCTCCCGAAGCCAGAGCCCTCGGGGAAAGGCTCTCTTGGGACGTCTATCGGGCTTCTGGGGCCTCCGAGGCGTCCAGGAAAAAAAGGGGGCGGCTGGCCGGAGAGCCAGGGAGGACGTCCGAAAGGTGCCCCGGGGCCTGGAGGATCTTCGCGCCCCTGGGGGTGGCAACCTAGCTTTCTACTGCTGTCCAAGAGGCCAAGGATCAGATGGAGGAGGGAGAGGAGGAGGAGGAGGAGGAGGAGGAGGAAGAGGAGGAGGACGAGGACGAAAAGAGGGATGGTGACGAGGAGGAGAAGGAGGCGGAGGAAGAGGAGGAGGACGAGGAGGGGGAAGAAAAAGGAAAGGAAGAATGCAAGGAGGAAGAGGAGAAGGAGGAAGAGGAGGAAGCACGCCGTCACATACCATTCGTCTTCCCGTGTCGACGGGCCCGCATGGACCCGAAATGGGTAGTCATTGGGGCGCAAAAAAACATAAACACTTGCATAGCGTAAAGTCTGGGCAGTGTGTCTACGCATTCGCTCCAATGGTGTGCGGCATGCCCATGTGCGCTCTGGGAAGCCACCGCACAACACACACGCGCGTGCCCATAACGAGAGGCTGACTGGGAATTGCTTAGCTGAACGTAGCGCTCCATGCGCATACCCACCTTCGTGTATACGCGGCATATCCATCTTGTCCGAGAGATAACTGTCCGGGCACTTTCGCAAGCGCGGCGGCTGCATGATCCAAGCCGCGGCCCACATGGCGGCCTCCAGATAGGCTCCGAGCGGCGCGGGCGGATCCGTGGCTAACCATTCCTCGAGAGGCCAGCCATGTAGCCAATCAGAGAAATCCCCAGTGCTGGAATAACCACACACACAGAAAGCACGTGCTGGGGCACATACCTCATCACTGTGCTTGCACCCACCGGCCGCGGCATCCGTTAAGATTTGCAGATGGCCAGGAGTAGCCACGGGATCGTAGGGACTGGGTCCTTGAAGGGGCCACGACACAAATAAATAGACACGAATAACAGGATTCCCAACATTTTCCCATATTTTCTGGGTGCTCGTCTTCCCCCCCACTTCCCATACTTTCCCATATTCTTCCTGGGAGTCGACAATCAATTGTGTCTGTGCGTTTCTTTCCCTCCTGGGTCCTGCGCGCGCGTGCTGGCAAGATGGAGGGCCGTGCCATAGCTGTTTTTGTTCAGGCCGTCTGACGAGCCGTCGAGGCCCCGGCGAAAGCTCACCACAGAGCGCCTGCAAAACAAGCTACCACATACATCCCACTCTTGAGATCGTCAACTGGCCATCGCTCGGACGTCCATTCCCTGTGTCTTTTTAGGTTTTGTGCGTGGTTTTTTCGCCAAATGAATGCTCCTCGATGGTCCTCGCCGAAGGAAAAATACACACGTCCGAGCGATGCCAGGCAATTGTTGCATTGTGTGGACACAGCGCCGAGAAGATGGACCCCCACCACAGACTGCCCCGAGCTGGCTGCGCCGGCCAGTGGCACTCCAAGAGAGCTCCCGCGCGGGGCCCGCGGGGCCCCCAAGGCAGGGGCGCGCGCTCTCGGCGCCTCGGGGGCCCCGCGCGGGGTCGTCCTGAGGTTCGGTCGGGCAGGGCCCCCTACCGGCGGGCTTTGAGCGGAAAAAGGGGAAGAAGTCAAAACATGTACGAACATAGGCAGAAATGCTCGGAGCATCGTCCCCATACTGTGTATTTGTTAGAACCGTTTCTGGAGGGACATGCCCGATTGAATCCTGAGGCCGAGAGGAGTGTCCTGGCACCACGTTCGCAAGCAACCCACGTTCGCAGATTGGTCGGCCCCCTGCGGAATCGGAGGCGGCATGGGCCATTGAGGAGAGGGGGAAAGCCATGGACCTGAGGCGGCATGGACAAATTCCGTGACTCACAGCTCTTCGGCGTTGTCACGTCGGTGCTGGCGCGCAAGATGCCGCGCGAACAAGCGGCTGGCCATCAGTGGGAGAAGTGGCCGTGCAGCTGCTGAAGGCGTCGGACTTTTGCCGGAGCTCAGCGGGCACTGACGCGTTGATCATCGTCATCAGTGTCCCCAGCTGTGAGGTTGACTGCTGCTTCGTCAGGTCGTGCATGCTGGGGTCAGCAGCTTGGTCCAGGCTGCTCCTCGTCTGCTCGGCAGCAGCCTGGCCAGGCTGGCGCCGCTGAGATGCCGAACGGGCTGGCCTGGCGGCCGCTGGAGAGGCGCCCTGCAAGCCGGCGGCCTCCAAGCAGCTACGTCCTGCTGCTCGTACCTCAGATGGTGTTCCTCGTGTGCCAGGTTCTCTTTTGACTTCCAAGATCTGCTTCTGCAGCTGATAATTGTCCTCCTCGCGGTTGTGGCTTACCTCCGTGATCTGCCTGTGCGAATGTTGGCCATGGCGTTCTGAAAATCCAATATCTGCGAAAGTAGTTCTGACTGTGTATGTTACATGGGCGCAAGCAGCCCCAGCGCGGTGAGCTCGCATCCCGTACCCGCTGAGCCCGCAGGGAACGGTGTAGCTCTAGGCGGTGTACAGGTGGGCGGCGGGAGACAGTACCCTCAGGTCTGCCATGCTCCGCGCGCCAGACTCGCTGCAGCCCGAAGGGCCTTCAACTGTGAGAGACGCTTCATCAAACTCATCCTCACCGTCCTCATCCATGTATTCTGGGGCTCTGGGGCGCAAAGCGCGTGCGGGATGGGCACGTGTATCGGGTTGCGTGCGGTCTTCTTCCCCCATGTCCTCGAAGTCCCTATAGTGGTCTAGCAATGCTTCCGCGTGCGCAAGCTCGCCTTGAATACTCTCCACTCGAGTGCGACACGTCTTGAAGTACTCTTCAGCTTCAGTCTGCTGGTTCTGTGCATAGTATAGCGCCGTCCAGCTCTGTTGGCGAGGCTCTGCTGCTTGGGGGCGCGGGCTGTGCCCGAGCGGGAGCACATGAGCTGTGACAAGACCAGGCTGCACTCGTGACGGGCCGGCAAGAGAATTCGCAGGTGCGCTGGCACCTGCGCCCCTGCGCCCGACATCCCCTTGCGCCGGCGATGGCCTTGCAGGGAGGAGGGGGAGGAGGGAGGAGGAAGAGAGGAGAGGGGAAAGGAGCAAGGCAAGGTGGGCGCGCTCGCGCCAGATCTGACATCCTAATTACCCCTCCCACCCATCTCTTCCCATTGCGCTGTTTTGTGCTATAACCGCCGACGAGTGTCATAGCGGGTTTCGAACCCCCAAGAGGACCACTTTGTCCCAAAAAAGGGGGAGCTGCGTACAGTGGAGGAGGAGGTGGCGGATGAGTAGGAGGATGAGCAGGAGGAGGGACGCAGGAGGACAGGAGGAATAGCAGTGGCAGGAGCAAGAGTGGGAGAAGCGGGAGGAGCAGGATGACCACGGGAAGGCGGGGAAGAGGAAAGTAGCAGGGAGGGCAATACCCCCCCTCAGCCGCTGGCACCAGCAGACGCCCGTCCACGATGCTGGTGAACGCCGGCACGATAGCGGTGGTGGCCATGCAGGCCTCGCGGCCGGGTAGGCTTGCGCAGGCTTGCGCGCAGGCCTGTGGTCGCGCACTGCCAAGCGGCATGCACGTGCGCGCGGAGATGGATGCGCGGCGCTGGCGGCGCTGCAGAGCGAGAGCGGTGAGCGCTAGGGTTTGTGTTGGCCTCTCTGGGGCCCCGTGTTATAGCGGGTCCCAGAAACCCTGGACCACCAAATAGTTACCACCTCGTCGGGAACACGTGTCTGATCCCAACGGCCTTCCACCATCCTTCCAGCCGCCCTCGTTTTACTTCCGCGGGCCTTCCGCGGGCCTTCCGCCGCCTTTCGCCGAGGAAACGACGGCAACTTTTCCGAATTCTCAAGTGGCGAGGCCCTTTCTTGAGCGCCCCAAATCTGGCCGAAACTCGCATGTTCCCCAGAAACGCCTGCCGAGGAAGAAACGACAACTTCTTCGATACCTCGAATGCGAGGCCCTTCTTCGAGCGCCCCGAAACTGGCCGAAACTCGCACGTTCCCCAAAACGCCTGCCCCGACTCCCGAATTAAGAGGGCAGAAACTCCACCCTCATGATAATCACCCCAGCACGCGAAGCCGTTTAGCAAACGCAGGGCTGTTTAGTAAACACCCAGGGCTGTTTAGCAAACGCCACTTCTCGGGTCCCGGCGGTTTGTTCCTTCCCTGGCGACTGCGAAGCGAAACGGGTCGAAACGTCCTCGCACGTCCGCGGGGGGGCACGCCGGCAGAGACACGCGCCCGCGCGCCGCGAGAAGGGCAGGATGCACGCACGGGCACGAGGTATCGCGGGAGAGGTTGGGAGCACACCGCGGGAGCCAAAGGAGGGGCTGCTGCAGGAGGGGGAGGAAGAGGATCATCAAGAATATGGAAACAAAAATCCGCCGGCCCCCTTGCGGGGCCACCAGGCTGTAGGCCGGGAATGTGCTGCTCCCTGCACTAGTTGCAGCTTCCAGTTTCCACTCTTGCAGTTCCGCTTCTTGCTGCTTACTGATCCTTGTTGATGAACGCGCGAGGGGGGGGGAGCCCAAACCAGCAGAACTACCACGCCCTGGGAGGGTTCTCAGAATTTCTGGGGGGGTAAAAATTGACACCCTCACGCAGATCCAAAAACACAAGGGATGTGCCACATGTTTGAACTTCAGTAGTACCCATCACGCAGATCGGCGGGGTCACGGTTAAAAAACACATGGGATTTGCCACATACCTGAAATTCAATGGCACCCCTCACGCAGATCGGCGGGGTCAGGGTTCAAAAACACAGTGGATGCACCACATTTCTGAAGTTCGGCGGCACCCCTCATGCAAATTGGCGGGGTCAGGGTCCAAAAACACAAACGATCTACAACATTTCTCAAATTCGGTGGGACCCCTCACGCAGATCGGCGGGGTCAGGGTCCAAAAACACAGGGGATGTGCCACATTTCTGAAGTTCGGCGGCACCCCTCATGCAAATCGGCTGGGTCAGGGTCCAAAAACACAGGGGATGCGCCACATTTCTGAAGTTAGGCGGCACCCCTCATGCAAATTGGCGGGGTCAGGGTCTAAACACACAAGGGATTTGCAATATGTCTCAAATTCGGTGGCACCCCTCACGCAGATCGGCGGGGTCAGGGTCCAAAAACACAGGAAATGCACCACATTTCTGAAGTTCGGCGGCCCCTCACACAGATCGGCGGGGTCAGGGTCCAAAAACACAAGGGACGCATCACATTTCTCAAATTCGGTGGCACCCCTCACGCAGATCGGCGGGGTCAGGGTCCAAAAACACAGGGGATGCACCACATTTCTGAACTTCGGCGGCACCCCTCACGCAGATCGGCTGGGTCAGGATCCAACAAAAACAAGGGCCGTGTGATTTGGTTTAAATTAGGTGGCACCCCTCACGCAAATCGGAAGGGCCAGGGTCCAAACAACACAAGGGATTTGCCACATTTCTGAAATTCGGTGGCACCCCTCACGCACATCGGCGGGGCCAGGGTCCAAAGTCAAGGAGATGTGCCACACATTTGAAATTCTGAAATTCGGCGGCACCCATTACGCAGATCTGCAGTGCAGGGTCAATAAAAAACAATAGCATTTGCAACATTCCTGAATTTCGGTGGCACCCCTCACGCAGATCGGCGGGGTCAGGGTCGAAAAAACAAACAGGTCCCGACACAGCTTCACGGCGGCGCCCAGACCTCATGAGTTCGCGTTTGCATCTCCAATTATTCGAGACAGGGAGCCAGCGGCATGGGGCGAAGCCCTTACGGATAAGACTAATAAGAGGAAGACCAAGAAACCACATAAGAACAAACATAAACACACTCATAAGTATAAGAAGAAGAAGAAGAAGAAGAAAGGACGCCCAGGGCTCCATGAGCGCCATGGTGCCCAAATCAGCGTCGAACCCCCGTCCGAACAAACAGACGCAGAGACAGGCCCGCAAGGGGCAGGCCGCTGCTGGTTAAAACTCTGGGCTCTCGTCAAGAGATCGGCCTGCTGTCGTAGGTGTCGGGAGGGGGGAAGAACGGGGGGGGCAAGCATGACGCGTAGAGGAGGCGAACGAGGAGGAGGAGGAGGAGGAGGAGGAGGAGGAGGAGACCGAGGAGGCGGAGGACGAGGAGGCGGAAGGGGAGGACAAAGGACGAGGAGGAGGAGGACGAGGACGGTTGGGGAGAACGAGGAGGAGGAAGACGAGGAGGAGGCAGACGAGGAGGAGGACGAGGAGGCGGAAGAGGAGGACAAAGGAGGAGCGTCGCACGGAGCTCGAGGCGACGCGCCGCGCGGCGGCGCAGCAGGACAAGGCCACGCAGAGAGGGAAAGGGCAGCGGGGGTAGCGGGAGCAGCAGCCGAGGATCCTGTGCAGCCCTGCGGTCGAAGGCAAGGCTGGCGCCAAGGCAGCAGGGGGAAGGATGGGGGGGGGCAGCAGGAGGATGCCGTTGTCTCGCCGCCAACCGCCAGCGGGCATGCGCAGCTTCCTCCACTTCCTCCTCCTCCTCCACTTCCTCCTCCTCCTCCACTTCCTCCTCCTCCTCCTCCTCCTCCTCCTCCTCCTCATCCCTACCTCCCTCCATGCCTCCCTGGCCAGCTGCAGCACAGAGGAATCCACTTACCATCCATAGGGAAGACGGTGATTTTCATGCACAGACTCGAGTGCGTGAGGACTTCCTCTTGGGGGGGGGGGGGGGGGGGGCAGGGGGAGGTGTAAGGGGGAGAGGGGGGGGGGGGGGGGGCGAGAAAGGAGGGGGGAGGAGGAGGAGAAGGAGGAGGAGGAGGAGGAGGAGGAGGAGGAGGAGAGGCAAGGGACGAGGGAAGAATCGGGAGGACGAGGAGGAGCAGGAGGGGAGGGAAGCGGGGAGAGGAGGGGAGAGGAGAGATGCATCGATGGCACCTCTCTGTTTCGCACGTGATTGTTTCGCTTGCCCTGGCCTTGGTCATTGGCAACGGATCTGGACGGCGCTGATCTTGAAGCCAGGGCGAGAATGCACCAGTCGGCCCCTCTTCCCTACGGCCCCCCCCCCCACTCCTCCCTTCCCAATCATCCCGATCCCATGGCCCCTCCCTCCTCGGCGCGAGAAGACCACGACTGAAAAGGGGGCGGAGGAAGTCTGGGAGGAGGAGGAGGAGGAGGAGGAGGAGGAGGAGGAGGAGCAGAAGGAAGAGGAGGAAA